GACGATCTTCGTCGAACCGAGGAGGAATGCTATCTCGGTACGGATGGTCAGGCCTTCGGGCTGTCTGGGATGGTTGTCGGACAGGACCACCAGGACGGGATTGAGCAGCAGCCCCTAGGCCAGGTGGAACACTGTTCATGGTGGAGTTAGCGGCCTCGGTGGAGCTGGATGAGGCGTTCAATCTTGTGTTGGAGTTGTCAGGGTGGTTGGGAGCTTGGGCTGACCGGAGACTGGCAACAAGAGTGGCAGCGATGTTATTATGATGTGACGTGGCAGTCTCGGGTGGAGCATCAGCGAGATAAGTATTGAAGAACTTGTTGGCCAGTCGTTTCTCCTTTCGAAGATTGAACTTTCGGCGCGGGACAGCAGGGGTGGGGGGTTGGGGTGGATGAACAGGCGGTATAGGAGCATACGTTGCCTTCAGGTTATGTAGCGCCCGAGTAAGAGTTGATAAGCTGGGTTCGGTGTCGGTATTATCAAGGCGGGAAGGGCGAGGAGGTAACCGTGAAAGATCGGGGGGTGACGCAGTGCCTGCTACTGCTACTGCTGCTGCCGTGGGGGCTGTCAATGCAGGAGAGGAAGATTTGGGAGGAACTGCCAAAGGCATAGGCACAGCAGGAGTTTCATTTGCGGACAGAGCTTGGGGCAGAGAAGGGGGCCGAGCAGCTGCGGGTCCTGCCGGAATGAAGTCGGGATTGCCTTGCCAAGTCTCCATGAATCGTTCGCATTGATAGACCTTGTAGCGACCGGGGACAATGTCAAGCAATAAGAACTCCCGAGAATTAATATCTAGTTTACATTCATCTGATCAGAGTGGTCAGTCAACGTTGCATTGTAAATAGCAGACCCAAACCACGTACCAGGTGTCCATTTCTCAAGACAAGGGACGTTGTCCAAGTTGGGTTCGCCTTCGGATCAGCAAGCCTTCACTAACGCTGCTCCAATCGCCGACACGTCTGCTTCCTGAATGCCGACGCCATTGGCCCACCAGTGCGAAGAGTTAGTGAAGGTAAACCCTGGGACTCCCGACCCTGTGGGGTAGTTGACCCATCGGCACTTGGCATCGATAACGAGTTTTCCAGCATCTCCCACTCTAAGTTGCCGATTGTTGGTATTGACACCTGGGGAAGGCGTGAGGGTGGTGTGATTAAGCAGAGGAGGTCCGACATACCCCATTTGCATGAGCAGTGAATCACGCACGATGGCGCGGTGATAGTCACGCCGCTTCTGACTCTCTCTCTGGTGCCAGGGGTTGTCGGGGAGCCATGGCGTCTTTATGAACTGGCGAGCCAGGTTCAGGTAGTCAACTGTAACTCCAGCACGTCGAACAACTGGAGCAGTCACACCATTGGAGGCTGCATCCGGGACTCTGCTACCACCAACAGCATTCGTGGGTTGCGACTTGGTGTCTTGTTGCTGTTGAGGGGCTTTGCTATCGTCGCTGGTGCTTGTCACTTGTGTAGCGGCTGGCGTGGCAGAGTGTTCGGTCTTGCTAGTGCTGGATGCTCCCCCCGGTTTATCAATAGCGGTTTCAAAAATCATTCCCAGCAAATCTTCCAAGCAGATGGCGCCGAGTTTTGCCCCCCCAATGTCAGCATTCCTGAAAAGCTCATGTTAAAAGCATATTCAAACCAAATACGGGCCAAGACGAACTTCAGAATTATGCCAAAGTTGTTTATCGCGGTGCGAATAGGGACCTTGTTCTCCTGGCAATAGTCCTCCAAGCCGGTGTGGCTTGTGTACGCGCTAGAGAGTGCCGCTGCGCTGGGATCCGAGCTCCATGTCAGGGCCAAAAAATGGGAGTCGCTGCGCATAGCAGCAAGTTCTGTGGCCTATGAAGCACCTTGTTAAGTAGAAGGAATCACGGCGCTTTCTTAGACACTCACTGTTTTAAGAAACTTATTTTCTAGGATGTGCATGAACCTGACGTTGCATTCACTCACGGAGAGCTCGTCAGGTTCGAGATTCAAACGACGAAGCTCCTGCTGGAGATATTGTCGAAAAGCGTCTTCGGTAGCAAAATTTGCCTTCTCCTTCAAATATTCATCACGGCACCATGCATTATACGTGGCATCTAGAAGTCTCATTAGATTATATTAGATACAGCAGTGCTGGAAGCCACTTAGCCTTTGGAGCTTCAGGGCGCGTTGCAGCAATCTTGGAAAACATCTGTGCAGTATTGAGATCGCGCTGAGCATGGAAGCCAAGGCCGCTATGAGCCAAGAGGCTTGAGACAGTCCTTCCGAGACTGTCCGCCGTCTGCCTCACCATCTCTGCACATCGACGAGCCACCTCGATCTCCTGCTGGGACCAGCGTCCAGTCTTGAGCCTCTGACGAACTTCGAGGACTGGGACTTGTCGGCAAACTTGGTCTTTGTCGTCAGTTGCAGCTGTTGGCTTCGGTGACTCTTCAGACGGTGCCGCCTTCACAACTATACATAGATATGTACATATCATACATGTTCCACCTTGATGTCCGGAATACCCATGCTCCATGTGTTGCCAGCCCTAGCTTGGCTGTTTTAAAGGTACATGAGCCATAACCCAGCTGGCCACGTTGGAAAGCAACGTCCTTCATGACCCAGCTGGCCATACCGCTCCCTGAAGTCCACTGTTCCCAGACAGAATGATCCCGGCTGCCCTGTCCCTGCTGGTTTCGTTACTTACATTCCCCTTTCCCCCATGTCCCAGCTGCCCCCTCAGAAATCCCGGTTCCCCGTGTCCCCGCTGGTTTCCCCGATTTCGCTTACCCCATGTCCCAGCTTCCCTTGCTTGCAGACGGCCCCTACTACTTACATTCCCCTTTCCCCCATGTCCCAGCTTCCCCCTCAGAAATCCCGGTTCCCCGTGTCCCCGCTGGTTTCCCCGATTTCGCTTACCCCATGTCCCAGCTTCCCTTGCTTGCAGACGGCCCCCACTACTTACATTCCCCTTTCCCCCATGTCCCAGCTTCCCCCTCAGAAATCCCGGTTCCCCGTGTCCCCGCTGGTTTCCCCGATTTTCGCTTACCCCATGTCCCAGCTTCCCTTGCTTGCAGACGGCCCCCACTACTTACATTCCCTTTTACCCCCTCTATACCGTGACTCTGCTGCTCCCGATCTGTGCTGAATCCTGATACACCACACCGGTTTCGCGCTGTCCGGGATAATTCCTTGGCGATGTTTGGCTCGAGTATATAAAGGTCAAGCAACAGAGAAGTGAACTCTATAATTCCCCAACACGCTTTAAACACAGGTGAGAGAAAAGAGTGCACACAGGATCCATCAGCGCTGACTTCTTTTAGATCTTTTTGTCAAGCATGTCGCCTGTTGACATCTCTTCCCTGGCACACCAAATGGAAGCCATACTTGGACTTCTTGAACGTGAGTTTTCAATGTGAATACATTCGTCATTGATACTAACCTATTACAAGCCACTCAAAAGCAGGTTAACCACTGCAAGCTCATGCTTCTTACCACTGATGTAGAGCACCATTCTCATCTGTCTCGGACAGATGAGGTGCGATCCTATATGTTGGAGGTCCGACGGGGGGTAGTTGATCACACCAACTGCACCGTCTCCCTCAGGTCCGCACAGATCGAGCTACTGGTGTCGACGTCAAACCTCCTTTCACATTACGTGCGGACTTGTCAACTTGGTTAACTCCCAGGGGATCGAATCGCCAGGTCTACCCCAACAAACCCCGAGTTTCCTTTTCCTTTTTAGTCACAGACAGTGTCCAAAAACTATAAATTATCGCGATTACAAATGACATACTATTTCCCCTTCCCATCCAACATATCTTCCAATCACGATGGCCACCAATAACAAAGACAAAATTCTCCTGGCCATCGATGAGCTAGCAGTTATGATTGCTCTGCTAAAAGGTATGCATTTGCTTCGACGTCCTCCCCTTGCCGCTCACCCAAGTTTTACAGATTACGACAAGCCAGAGCATCAGGAGAAGTCCAAAGAGTCTCCCGAGGCTCGCCTTAAACGGAAGAAAGACTTTGCCGAAGCGATACACGCGAAGGTTAAGGATCTAGTGGTGCTGGCTGATGCCGACAGCAAGGCAATCTACGACGATCTTTTGGCACAGGGCCTCGCACCAACCTGCTCGATTTGAAACTTGGTTAAATATATCCTCACTACAACGAATGTATTCAAAATCGAGTACTGTACCCAACTTATACTTTGCGCCCGCAAATGAACATTCTCGCCCCGCTTTCAGGAAATTGTCCGCAAGTCACTCCAACACGTCCGCTACAGTGATCCTACAACGGGTCCGCACGTGGCAACGTTGCACCCTTGAATGATCTGAGGATTTTGAGCGGCACTAGACACCCACAGCGGAAGTGCGGACCACAGGGTTTGCTGTTGAACTTCGCCCTTCCACGGAACGGTCCCAATTGTCGAACCCGATCCTGCGGACGCGGTGCCGAGCCCTCCCATCAACTAACAAATCACCAGATTCTCTGGCTCGTACACCCACTATCGAATTTCTGCTTCTCACTACAACCATCCCTCTATACTCGCACGGATCTCTCCAATGTCCCCCGATGAATTCGATTCTCTTTTAACTCGCCTTCTTGAGGTTGTATCACAGGCTAGAAGTGAGTCACTCCTTACCATCAAGGGGGTCTACCAGAATCTGAAATACTTTCATTAGAAAGCACGACCGATATCGAAGAGAATGTCACTCTGGTCGCGACCCTGGATTACAAAATTGCCCAGCTCTCCAAATTATCTGATCCCAGCAGCCTTCAGCACATCGCAGAGGGCTATCAGTTGAAGGAGACAGCCACCGACCATCTCAAATCTTTTCTTCAAGCTCGCAAGACCCAACTTGACTATCTGGAAACGGCGACCAAACTTGTGGCCAGTGATCTGAAGCTCGAGTGGACCGAACATCGTTTTGCTGAAGCAACTCTAGTGCGGACGCAGTTGGAACAGGTGTTACAGGCTCGGTAGAAGGGAAGGCCGGAGTGAGGTTTAGATTGCATGTAATAAACAATATATCTTCCTAAGCGCCACTCCTCACCCCATTGACCTTTCCCTGCGTTCATCCTCCTCCTCTCTGTTCCATATCGCCGCCTCGACCAGAGCAAGGTCTCGCATGAGCAGGTTCCGTAGTCGAATATAATTGTTTTCCCGCAGTTGTAGCTGAGCGTACATCCATTTTAAGGACCTCATGTGCCGCTCAAAATGCGTACTTGAGATGGCAGGTTCGTCGATGGCCCCAGATGCCCCATAGGAAGAGCCGGTCGAGACGTCATCGTCATCGTCCGAATCCAACTCAAAGGTCATCCCTGCAAAGCCTGATGTTGTTCGCAATCAGTAATCGAAGATGAAAGCTTGACACGCACTCCTCGGTTGGTCCGCTGGTTCTCCCGCTCGAGGTTCGCCATCTTGCGGTTGAGTTCCGCTGGGCAGGATATGCCCGACAATGCGGACCTCGGAGTCCGCATTGTCGTCCGCATTGTCGGCAGCCGCATCCCCCTGATTCTCCGCTGTTGCCCCGCCAATCTTCCCCTCCATATATCCCGCAGTCGTCCGTCCACCGGCGAGGTCCTTTGCCCGGTCAGCCCCTGTCCCCGCTCCCGGAATGGTACCCCTGTTGTCCATGGGCGCACCCTGCTCCTTCGGCACGCCGACTCTCGGATTGCCTGGAACTTCTTCCGTGCTACCACCGCCCCATTCGTCCTGACCATCTTTACCTGTCTCAATGACACCTTCCATCCCCGAGTCACTTCACAACGTTAGTCCAGTTTCACCAAAGGTTGTGTTCAAGCCCCTACATTTCTTGACGTGCGTCAGTAGTGGATCGTAGATCTTGAATTAAATCCCAAGTACCTGATTCATCGTCTGAGTCTGAGCTCATATGATACGAAAATGACTGTACTGAGGGGTGCAGCATAGTGGCGAATGGCTCAGGGATTGTCCAAAGATGAAATGACCAACCGGCAAATTATATCTCGTTGTGCCCGCAAATCACGGACTGATAAGCTCTGCTAAATCTGCCGAGAAAATCAATCACCTTACCGCGTTCGCCTGACCAGCCAAGTGCTCCTTTGCGGGTTGTTCGTGAATCACCATGACCGAGACCAAAAAACTTCAGAAATTCCCTGCCTTAACGCCCTCGGACCAGCGAGAATTGGAGAGGTCCATTACGCTGCTTAAGATAATGCTCAAGCATGCCAGTACCCTTCAGCCTGGGTCCAAAGACTTATCTGGAAAGCTGGCGTTGCTCGAGATGTCGGTGAGTCTCTTCCTAAAAGAATACGCGTCCCAGACTGATCTAGCTGTACTCCAGGGTAATGTATTTCAAGCTTACCTCAAGAAGAACGTTACCAAAAAGCAAATCGGCCCAGCAATATCTGCTTGGTTCAAGCACCTCAATCAGAACCAGCACATTCTTGGCGACCCAACGCTCATCAACGTCTTGTTTTTCGACGACCCCGTTTTTTCGTCCTATGAACCGACACAGGAGGAGCAGATCGCGTTCGACCGACACATTCTCGCGATCGATGCCCGAATACAAGATTCCAAGCTTCCGGGTGACCAGAACTCTACCACCACAAGCCAACCGCCAGAGTACAAGGCCCCTTCGTCCCTAACGAAACTCGTCAACGATGCAATGGTGAGTTGCTATTCTAGTTTCTGTGACCTGGAAAACCCATCCTCATTTTACCAGCTTATTTCCAACCGCGTCGATGGTCCGTCGGCTTCCAAACCCACTCCCAAGGTCCCGTCCGCCCCAGAGCCCAAGAAGACCGAAGTCAAAGCGAAACTCGCCAGACACCCCAAACTAGCACCCGTCCCCACAGTTCTAGTCCCTCCACGGTCCACCAACCCTCGCACCGTCAAGGCAACCCCTCGACCCTTCCGCAGCGATGCGAAGCAAACCACTGAGCGGGATGGCAGCCAGAACCTCGACACGGCCAAGATCGCAAACCTCGATCCCGCAGTCGCCCCGCCAGACTTCAGCGGACTTCGGCCGACAGCAGAACCAACTCCATCCGGCCAGGCAACGAAACCAGACAGTAGACGCCCTGGCTCGACAACAGCAAAGTTGGCCAAGCGGAAGCATGAGGATACACCTGCGGACATGACTCCAGCGGATGTCGCCTGCAGCACCTGCGCTCGGAAAGGCACCCAGTGTTTGGTTTACAAGCCCAACGTAGCATGCTGGCCCTGCAGCAAGAACCATCGCAGTGGCTGCGACTTTTCAAGGATGCAGAGGGTCGATGGCCAGTTCGTCGTCGTGAAGGAGGAACCCGTCGATGTCGATATCCCGCCGACGAAGAAGAAAAAGAGATCGAAGGCCAGGAAAGCCGAGTCGCAAGGTGATCTACTCCAGATTTCCCTTTCGCACTTTTACTGACACCGTGATCTAGAGTCAGAGACAAGCAAGGTTGAACCGCGTTCCGAATCAGCAACGCCGGACGTCAAGGTGGGAATGCTATCTCAGGTCAATGATGTGTTACGTACCACTCACGCGTTCTGAATCGTTCTCGCTACTGGCCACCTTACGCCTCTCCCATGTAGGCCCAGGTAAGTTTTCTCCCTGTCTGACCGCTTTCTCAACCGACATAGCGCGCAATATATAGGATGATCGCGCTGAGAGTTCCAAAACCAAGGCAGTAAGCTAGCTCCCCATTGTATCGCATGTGACTTCTTGCTGATCGTTTCTTCTAGACGACCAAAAACATCGGGCCTGCGAAGAAATCGCCTGAGGTCCTAGGCGATACCGACGAGGAGCGTTTAACGCCATTGCCCGGGCAATTCCACGGGTCCCTCCCTCAACCATCGCGCACCCCTCACAACAACCAAACCACACCCCCGCAGGTCTCGTCCTCGCAAGTCGCACCTCCAGCGCCTCCCAGCAATCGAGAGAGACCTACATCCCCGCAGGTCTCGTCGTCCCAACTCGCAGCGGCAGCGCCTCAGGCTGATCCAAAGAAACCCGCAAACCCGCAGGTGCCTCCCGCCGAGCAAAGGGAAACCGCAGCATTGGCGCGGTCAAACAACCCGAGCCCCCCTGGTGATACCCCCGCCGCTCCCGCTGATTTGCAACAATCAAGGGACCTGTCGCATGGCAAACCTGTAAGTGGTTGCCCCCAAAACGAGTTCAAAACAACAGAATCTCACCTATTGCGTAGATTCCAGTTGAGGGACCTCATCCAAGCGAGCTCATCGATCACTCCGTTCTCGAAACGCTCGGCAACTTCGACAACCGTTTGTTTGGCATGGAGGGGAAGGTGCGGGCGGTGCAGTCCGCTGTTAACGTCCTCGTCTCGGCGTCCAACGAAACCCCGCAACTACCATCACGCCTATCTAACCTGGAAACGCTGTTACAGGAGACTCGGGATGAACTGTCGGCCACCCGGAAGGAAGTCAGGGAGCAAGCTTCCCTGATTGCGGATTACAGGAATAATGTCACCCTCCTCAACGCGATCCTCGGCGCCAACACGTTCTGGCAACAGCTCAACCTCAATATGCTGTCGTCATCCCGGCCTTATGGACTGACACCTGACCCCCAGGACGTCCCAGCATCCTCTTCGCTGGGTCACCATGTTTCAGACCAAGGCTCCTCTTTCGGCCATTCCACTTCGATCGCCAACCCTCCTTCCTCCAACCAACAATCCGCCTTGTCGTACCGGCATGACACTTCCTCCGACTTGAATCCGCCATCCAACCCTAAAGCGCGCTTTGGGGAACAATCTATCCCTGTGGACATGAACACCCAACAACGGTCCACCTCTGCCCCTATCTCACAGTCGCTCGCAGGAAACGCGATGCCTCTCGAGGCGCCGCCAACCCCGCTAACGATCCCGGATGATTTTCCACCAGTGTCACCTGTCAAGTTCCAGGCCTTTCTGCAACAACTCTCCGTCTCCCTCCCCCCACCTTTCCCCACCCCCGCGAAGTCAGAGGTATCGACAGGTCCGCAACCTCAGTCCGCCTCCACGGCCAGGTCGGCGAACGCCCCTCAGTCCGGCTCGAACCACGGAGACAATAGCAAGCCAGAGGTCACCTCAACGGGTCCGCAGCCTCCATCTGCCTCCGCAGCCAGGCCGCAATGGACGACTTCCAACCCAGGGCAGAGCATCCCCGCAGCAACTCAATCCTGCGACGACGACGAACGACCTGACACCACTACTCCCCATTCTACTGGCGGTATGTCACACCATCCGGATAGAGCAGCAGGAGGAGGAGCAGTACAACCGACTGTTCACGAAGTGGGTGAGAGATGCTCCAGAGCCGAGGGATCGTCTCAGTTAGGGGTTGGAGAAAATATGGGTATGTTGAGATATATATATGGTAGCAGTCCTCTGACTTCTCAATTCGATGCTTCGTCTGTTTGCTCTAATATTTCAGATTTGCAGTGTTGAGTAACACATTACCTTGCACAACCTTGCACATCATTTCCACCCCGTCATTTCCGCCCTTCTCGTAATAATCTCCATTGTAATAGTATGAATAATAAAACGTTGTATATTTTTTCCCTTTCAATCCACTGCACATACAAATGAAAGACCCATGTAATCTACGCCCACTTTACTTACGAACCCGGGATTTGGACTTCTTGGTGGAATTCTGCGAACCTCTGGTGGCGACCTTCTGGGGTGCCCTCGATGTAGATTGGACTCCCGACTTCCGACTGGCTTGAGCGGTCGCCGATCGAGTGCCACGGCTTGGAGTATGAGATTGCGCAGGGCAGTCAGTAGCAGATTCCCGAAGGTACAGGCCAGAGTGACTGCATTTTCCCTCTGTGATACCGGGCTGCAGTGGCCAGCTTGGAAAATCAGGTACACGGTGACGCAGTCCAAGCTTGGGAGTCTACATCATTACTACATTTGTATATACAATATAGATTTCATCTTACATGACCAATATACGTGTGACCTTACATTACATTTGATTTCAAGCTTGGAACTTGCCCTTGCAGGGGTGAGTGCCCTAAAACCAAGCTTGGCTGCCCACAGTCCAAGCTCGAGTTTGTAGCAGTCTCTGCCACCCCGACAGGTCCTTCCTGTGTTCACTATCGTTGAATATCATCCACTACGATATGATTATTCTGAATTGGCGTCTCAGCGAAGACAAGTCATACACGCGAAGATTTTACTACGGAGGAGGATGAGGTATGTATATAACCTTAGACCCTGCGAGGTGAAGCAATAATTCTTGAGCAAAGGCTGCGCAGATTCTGTTTGTCCGGAAGGTTACACCGGCCATACAATGGCTTTGCACGCCATTGATACACGGTCGAGTCAAGCGTCCACCCAAGCTTGACTTCCCTTGCCATCCTCAACCCAAGCTTGACTACCCGCTTCACACTCGACCCAAGCTTGGGTTGGCGTTCGAACGCCCACCCAAGCTTGACTTCCCTTGCCATCCTCAACCCAAGCTTGACTACCCGCTTCACACTCGACCCAAGCTTGGGTTGGCGTTCGAACGTCCACCCAAGCTTGACTTCCCTTGCCATCCTCAACCCAAGCTTGACTACCCGCTTCACACTCGACCCAAGCTTGGGTTGGCGTTCGAACGCCCACCCAAGCTTGACTTCCCTTGCCATCCTCAACCCAAGCTTGACTACCCGCTTCACACTCGACCCAAGCTTGGGTCGATGTTCGAACATAGACCCAAGCTTGACTTCATTTGTCATCTTCAACCCAAGCTTGACTACCCGCTTCACACTCGACCCAAGCTTGGGTTGGCGTTCGAACGTCCACCCAAGCTTGACTTCCCTTGCCATCCTCAACCCAAGCTTGACTACCCGCTTCATACTCGACCCAAGCTTGGGTCTATGTTCAACATAGACCCAAGCTTGACTTCATTTGTCACCTTCAACCCAAGCTTGGGTCGTGGTTCAAATGTTGACCCAAGCTTGACTACCCGCTTCTTACTCGACCCAAGCTTGGGCCGGCGGTCGAACATTGACCCAAGCTTGGGTTGACTATGAAGCGTCAGCCCAGGCCTGGCCCTCCTGACTCGAGCTTGGAAATGGGTGGATTCCAAGATCGTTACCTGAAACCTTGTAGCCCGGATCAATACCGATCAAGAGGGTCTCTCTTGGCACTCTTTCTCGATCCATCATGCTCCCCTCAATGGAAGATGGAACCATCGACCTCAATGTTTTCCGTTCACGTTACGATTTACCTCCTGTCTATGAAGCGACCCTCGATTACGCCTTTTACGCCCTCCACGTCCTTCATCGGTTGTTCGAGCCACAGCACAAAATACCATGGATGGACATCCCCATCCGCGTGAAAAGTGAACTTCACCAACTCGCTTTCGTCGTATACCAGGCCATTCGTCGAAAAAGTAAGTTCCTTGCGCACAGTTGTTCGTTTCTCTTCTGACCGCTGCCAGTCCATCTCCAATGGTCGATCGAAGACTACGCGAAGGTTCTCCATGATGAAGATCTTACGGAAGGGGAGCAGATGGTACGCTTTCCTCCCGACTCTGGGACTTCCGATGGCACCTCCGATCGGCTGGACATCGAACACGAGCCCTGCGTTTTCGTAGATAAGAATGGCCGCATACTCTGGTGGTATCTCCCTGCCATCATACGTGAATCTCGATGGGTGAGTTCGTTTTGTCAACGACTGACTATTCTGAGCCTTACGATCTGTTAGATGGAATTTTGCAATACCGTCGTGTCCGCGTCCGCATTGACCCACCCACCATTCGGTCGACCACCGGCAATGCCCAGATCCCAATACCAGACTCTGTTTAGGGAAGGGTCCCAATTTGCTCGCGGTGCTGCCCGTTTCTCCCCCGCCCACTTCGAGGCAAGCTCGTCTGTTTCTCCTGTAAGCCTCCCACTCGGCTGTGTCTCAATATCAATCTTTTTAATGACGTGCTTTACTTCAGGATATCCCATATCCTTCCTTACCCTTTCGTGTCGATGAGCGATTCCAGGGCTTTGCAATCCTGGATGCGATTGGCTCGGAGACCATGGCTATCATTGGAGCGGTCCTAGCTCTAACCCAGCCTGTTTTGTTCCACGTCTCTCTCGAAATGTTGGAGAGAATGGCGGACGGGGTTGTAACCGTCGGCCAACCGTGGGTTTTCCACGAGGTCTTGAGGAAATGGACGTCACCCTTTCAAACCTTTACCATCTACAACAACTTCAGCCGGCCTCCTCATCGCTTTTCAGACACTCACCCTATGGCATCCGACATCCTCCTTTCTGCCGGGGCAGGAGAGTGTCACAGATTTACATGCCCCACCCTTGGTCGTGAATTCCATTTCGATCCTGGGACCATTTGTGCCGGTCTTACCCATCTCGTCTGTCACGGCTGGGCTGCAGCGGGCAATTCTGACCACCTCGTTTGCCAGTTCAGCGTTTGCGAGGATTTGATCCAGTATGTATCGCCCCATCGCCCCATATTTCCATTCACCGAAGATGAGCTCGGGGGCTACTTCCACTATCTTTTCGAGCCCCCTTTGGATGCTGGAAGCGATCTGCACCTCGCCGCTTAGTCTTGTCCTTCACTCTTTTTTTTTTTTTTGGTTTTAATTACCGCGATCCAATGATATCCCCTTCACCATCTATTGAATGCCGCGATGATTGCATTTTGTCGTTACATAGTACCCTATCGGTGAGAACCTTTGGTTGGCAACGTAACCTCAAGCTTGGCTTGGCTGAAATCAGGTGAGTTCCAAGCTTGACTCTCATAATTCCTAAGAACTCAAGCTTGGATCTGGTTAGAGGTGAGTTCCAAGCTTGACTCTCATATTTCCTAAAGACTCAAGCTTGGATTTGGGAAGCGTCGAAGAGTCAGGCTTGGTTTGGGTGAACACAGGTGTGTTCCAGCTTGACTCCCGTAATTCGTGGGATGTCAAGCTTGGATATTTACATTCGAACCCTAGTATGGTGCAATGCAAGTGCCAGCCCGGCCCTCAAGTTGTTCACTTGTCGTTCATCCCTTCCTAGTTTCAGTCTCTCCCTCCCTCTCTGTCACGATGCTGCTGGATACCACGCCCCTCGTCCAAAATTTGACCCCCGTCGAGGCTCAAGACCTGCTCAACTACGCCTCAGGGCGTCTTCGTTCCCTTGCCATTGCCATCACAAATGACTATGGCCTCATCTCCCGCTCCCCGACTCTGAAGGAGAGGTGCTGGAGTCAGTTCAAACAGGACCTGGTACGTGCTTTGACGAATGCAGTTCCACCTGTTGCTCACAGGCAGACAGAATACCACCCTGATCCTGTATGGATCAATGTCCCTGCTGCATCCTGGCAAGATATGGGCCCCCGTTTTTCTAGACCATGTCCACCGCCTCCTTATCAATGGTGGTATCAACGACTTCAACGCCATCGCTGAGGGTGCACTCAACCGTCCTATGCACGGTTTTGATGTGTTTCCTCCCGACGCCTCTAACTGGTGGACGCTACCTCCAGGAAGTGTCGAGTCCGACTGTACACCGCTCAACCTTTCCGCCTACGACATTGTAGAAGCCTGGAAGAAGCAGGAAAAGCGCACCACCTGGTACAATTCGATTCCCCCCATGCTTCCTAGTGGCTTCCAAGAGTGGCGCTTGAAGCCGCTTCACGATACTTTCAAAACGGTATCCGCCAGGGTGAAGACGCTTGAGAAAGGAGCTGAAGGAGATGCACGAGGCGCTGGACGTCTTCGAGATTACCTGTGCCAAGTTTGATGGTCTTCTCGAGATGAGTCTTGACGGGAAGCCAGTGGTCGAATCCCCCGACCTGGTCTACTGGATCCAGTTCTCCAGCCCCAAGTGCATCTTCGTGGTTGTGGGGCCAGGCCGACAAACCCACTTCTACGGAGGCTGATGGCGTTGAAGAGCTATCGAGGGACTTGGCCAAGCTCGGCACCTAGGTTTTCCCTTGTTTTCGTTTTCGTTTTTCGGTTTTCTCTATGTTTTTTACTTTTGTATGTGCATTATTCGTTGGTCCAATTTATTGTGTTAATCCCATCACTACTCTACTTTTGGGTAAAACTGGTCACCGCTTTCTTGGTGTCTTCGAACGCTTTCTTCGCGTGCACCGCCATTAACCTCCACATCTCCCCCTGTCGTTTCGCATACGCGTAATGGCCTGGTGAGTCACTCCGTAGCGCTGCCCATCCCTTACACTGCTCCTCCTTGTACGAGTAAAAGTTCACCACCCATTCCATCTCGGAGGACAGGAGGGTGTACTCCTCCTTCCAGCGTTCAGCCCTCGACTTCGCACGTAGCCAGTTAACCCTGTATACTGCTATGCATAAGGATAGTTGGCCTTAAAGGAAATACGAACGACTTACTCTCCTCAAGGTAAGCTGACTTGTTCGAGTCAGCTTCTACACTCATATTCCAAATCCACGGCAAGGCCTTGTTGCGTTCCCCTCTAGCATTCGGCTTGTAAATTGCGGTGACGGCCCTGGTGTCCTGTCTGAGGATAGGTCGATACCGAAGGCGCGTATTCTCGTCAGCCCCGAGACGACGCATCGCCCAGCGAGCTTGGTTGTAGACCTTGAGCTGGTGTCTCAAGTCCTTGTCCACCGCTTTCACGGCTGCATACCCACGGGTTTTCTGCTTCTTCCCTTCTGCTAGGCGGATGTTCGATCGGTATAAAAAAGACTTGTGTGCGATGTGAGTTCGGATATCTTCCAAAGCATCCTCGGCTTGAGCGATTCGTAGTTCCACCTCCTTCTTCCCAGCCCTTTCAATCGAAGAGGGAATACCAGTGGGATCGTCGTCAGAAAATGAGGAAGGCAGGGGAATCTTGACTTCCTCTATCTCATTGTGCGATAAAGAGAAAGGTGTTACGAACTCCCCTATTTCTTCCCTTGTTTCCCTCTACGCACTCTACCTTTCCGAACCTTCCGGACTTCCGTTCTCTCCGTAGTTCCGTTACCTTCGCTTCTTCGATTCTCCCGCATCTCCGAACCTTTCGTACTTCCGTTTCTCTCGTATTCCGTACTCATCGATACTCCTTACTTGTCGCTTTCACACCTTCTTTCGCTCTCTTCCAAACCTCTTGATAGCTCGCCAACTCTACTATAAATACTGTCTCTCTGTAGTAGATATTCCTCAGCCTGTTATCGAGAACCTTTCCCTCAGAACTTCTATCGCTCTCAGCTCGATCCTCTCTGTCTGCGATAGCGACAGGCCTCTTGAACTTGATTCCAGAACCAGAACTTCGATCCAGAACTCCAGAACTCCAAAACTCCAGAACGACTGTTGGCAACGATAAGTCCTCGTTGCCCGAAGTCGTAACAGAATAACAGGCTCCTCCATCGCCGCCTTCCTCGAAAGCGCGGCCCCCTCTCTTCAACCACGGATTCAGACGACGATCTCCGAACTCCTTCGACCCCTCCCTACGGCTGCTACAACCAGCCACACGCATTCTACTCCGACAAGAAGTTCGACGTCCACCTAAACCCAGTCGGCAAGTGGATCCATTGCACCCGACAACCCTGCCCACATCGTCTATCCAAACAACCCGAAGAGTTCCCCAGTTGGGGAGTCCCCTGTGACACCGTGGAACAGACCGAATTCGATCCCGACCTCGTAGAAGAATCCCTCCAGAAAGCTCTCGAATCTCGAACCGAACGAAGAAACAAACAGAAAGAAGAAAGAAGACTTCAAAAGAAACATCAGAAAGCTACGAAATCACCAAGGTCGAGGGGCCCTACTGAAATCGAACGAACCCTATCGGACCAACTGAAGAACCTGAACATCGACCAACCGATTCCATCGAAGAACCAAGAAGACCCTGAAACCGACTCGGATACCGATATGGCCGGAAACAATAACAATAACACCACCAAGAACGACTCAAAGAGCGACAATGGCAAAGTTATCCCCAAGAGGTTCAACGGAAATCGCTACCACTACCAGGCATTCCGCGATGCCGTCGATCTCTTCTTCATCACAGACGACAAACACGATACCGATCAGAAAAAGATCGCCTTCGTCCTCGCCCTACTCGACGAAGGAGAAGCTCGCATTTGGCGAACCAACTACCTCAGACAATGCCGCAAGAACGGAAAGCTTGATCTCGGAAATTTCGATGAACTGCTCAAGAAACTCGATGATACTTTCAAACAACCTGAAGAAGAAGACGAAGCCCTCTTTGCTCTTAACAACATGAAGCAACGACCCAATGAACGCGCTGAACAAACGATCACTCGATTCAGAGAACAAGCCTCCCTCGCTGGTCTTGATCTCACCAAGAACGATCGCATCGCCATCGACTACCTCAAAGACGTCTTAGACCCTGGTCTCGTCGACAAAGTCTCCCTCGACGTTAGAGAACCCGACACATTCGAAGAATGGGTTAAACTCGCCATCAAATATGACCGGGTCTATCGACGCAACAAACTTCTCAAGTCCCTCGGCAAACGAGGAAATACCCCCAACTTCCGCAAGACCCTTAGCGCCTTCGCCAGATCCACCAGAAACAACTCCGAACGTGATCCTGATGCCATGGATATTGATGCCATTTCCACCGATGAACGAACTCGAATGATGAAGACCGGCAGCTGTTTCTACTGCCGTGAACAAGGTCACATCGCCAAGGAATGCCCCAAGAAACGCAAAGATCGAAACTCATCCACCTCGAACGACACCAAAAAGAAGACCCCTCGAGAAGCCGCCAAATACATCCGAAGACTCCTTGCTCAATACTCCCCAGAAGAAGAAGCCGAAATCCTCGAAGCTGCTGGAGACGCCCTCGATGAAGACGAAGACGATGACCAAGAGGATTTTTGAATCGGGGAGCGGTTCAGTCAACGTACGCCTCCCCTCAGCTTGATATCTACTCTGTACTAGTCACCGAGATCAATGACCACACTATGCGCGCCCCTATTACTCTCATTGGTGAAAAGACAGGAAAAACCGTTGACACTAAAGTTCTTATTGATAGCGCAGCAGGAGGAACCTTTATCAGCACAAGATTTGCAAAACGACGAAACATTCCCCTTCGACCATTACCTCGACCACTCAAAGTCAACAATGTTGACGGAACTCCAAACAAGGAGGGAGCAATCACTCATTTTGTCGACTCATTCGGCTCGATTACACGGCCGAACGTTCCGGATCCGATGGTATGCAACAGAGATCGCCCACCAGGATCTAATCCTGGGCCTCCCATGGCTCCGTCGTGCAAACCCTATCATCGACTGGAAGAAAGGAACACTCGATTGGCAAGACAAGATCGACCCCGGTAAAATCGAAAATCACCTCCCTCGAACAAACCTCTCCACTCCAAACACAACCACCGTCGCCGTAATGTGCCTTCTCGAAGACGAAACCGACGAAGAGGGCGAAACTCCTGTCGTTTGGATCAACGCTAAAACCACTACAGCTCAACTCCTGGCCGCACAAGAACAAGAAAAGAAAGAAAAGAAGACTATCGACGATATCCTTCCAGAACCATACAAGAAGTATCGACACCTATTCGAAGATCGCCCAGAAACAGCCCTTCCTCCTCACAGGAAGTGGGATCACAAAATCGACCTCAAATCCGGATTCGTTCCCAAAGTATTCAAGACTTACCAACTCACCCCAGCCGAAGATCAAGAACTACAGAAGTTCCTTGAAGAAAACCTCCGACTCGGACGGATCCGCCCATCACAATCTCCGATGGGATCACCTCTTTTCTTCGTCGCCAAGAAGAACGGAAAACTACGCCCCTGCCAAGACTACCGCTATCTCAACGATTGGACCATCCCTAACGCCTATCCACTACCTCGAACTGACGAACTCATGGATCGACTCCAAGGCTCTCGGTACTTTACCAAACTGGACATCAAATGGGGGTACCACAATATTCGAATCCGAGAGGGAGATGAGTGGAAAGCCGCCTTCAAGACGAATCGAGGACTCTACGAACCGACCGTCATGCTCTTCGGAAAACGCAACTCACCAGCAACCTTCCAGAACATGATGAACGACATCCTCGACGAAGACGACGGAAACCCCAAACCTCTCAAGACAGAAGGATATATGGACGACCTCATGCCCCACGGAAGAACCAGAGAAGAATGTCGAGAAAACACATTAAGAACCCTCGCCAAACTCGACAAATACGACCTCCCCCTCAACCTCGAAAAATGCATATTTGAAGCCACCGAAGTCGAATACCTGGGTTTGATTCTGTCCGACATAATGAACTCAGTATGGATCCCACGAAGGTGGAAGGCCTAGCCAACTGGCCAACACCTAAAAACGTCAAACAAGTCCGACAGTTCCTTGGCTTCGGGAACTTCTATCGACGATTCATCCGAGACTACTCCAAGATCGCTAAACCACTCAACGACCTCACACGAAAGAACAACAAGTTCGAATGGACAAGTGCTACCGAAGAAGCCTTCCAAGAACTCAAGAAGCGATTCACATCTTACCCCGTTCTCCGCATGCCCGACTTCACCAAACCTTTCCAAGTTGAAGCCGACGCCTCGAAATACGCTTCTGGTGCCGTCCTCACGCAAATGGATGACGACGGAATCCGACACCCGGTCTGTTTCATGTCCAAAACCCTTCAACGACGCCGAACGAAACTACACCATCTTTGATCGCGAATTACTGGGCCATCATTCGAGCCCTTACCGAATGGAGACACTACCTCCAAGGGTCCCCCTTCCCACTAACCATCTTCTCCGATCACAAAAACCTTATCTATTGGCAAGATCCGCGGAAGATTACCCCCCGACAAGCTCGCTGGCGCGTATTCCTCGAAGAATTCTCTCCTTACGAAATACGGAACACCCCTGGAAAACAAATGATCCAATCTGACAACCTCTCTCGACGACCCGACCTCTGCCAAGAAGATGAAGAACCCGAACTCGTCACCATGTTACCTAAAGAAGTCTTCGTCAACCTCATCAACCTCATCGACCTCGACATCCAGGAAAGAATCCTATCCTCCGATCAAAACGACGACAGTGCAAATCAAGCTTTACAAACCCTCCTTGAAGAAGCCCCCTCGGACCTCCGACAAGATCTCTCCGATTGGACTTTGGAGACGAAAGATGGCCGACGAATGCTCTTCTATCAAGGGAAAGCTTACGTTCCCAACGACTCCGACCTTCGACGAGAAATCGTCAGAAAACACCATGATTCCCCCACTATTGGACACCCTGGCGAACTCGGCACTTTCAACGCAGTCAAAGAACACTACTGGTGGCCCGGAATGCGACGATTCATCAAATCTTATGTCGAAGGATGCACCGAATGCCAACAGTACAAGATCAATCGTCATCCTACTAAACCCACCTTGGAACCTATCGCCGCCCCAACTTCTTCCCGACCATTCTCCCAAATATCGATGGACTTTATCACCGATCTCCCACCATCAAAAGGATATGACTCCATCCTGGTCGTGGTGGACCACGGCCTTACGAAGGGGGTAGTCCTTGAACCTTGCCACAAGACTATTACCGCCGAAGAAACCGCCCAACTTTTCCTTAATCGAGTCTTTTCCCGATTCGGATTACCAGACAAATTCATCTCTGATCGCGGACCCCAATTCGCAGCTCGAGTCTTCCGCGACCTCTGCAAGCTTCTCAAGATCGACTCAGCCCTCTCCACCGCCTTTCACCCGCAAACTGACGGAGGAACCGAACGAGTCAACCAAGAAATCGAAGCATACCTATCCATTTACTGCACCATGAACCCCGAAACTTGGGCCGATCACCTCCCAATCCTCGAATTCACCCACAATTCTCGACCCCACGCTGACCGAGCCTTATCACCATTCGAACTTATCATGGGAATCAAACCACAAGCTCTTCCCGAAGCGTTCGATAGAACAGACTATCCTTCGAACGAAGAGCGCATTACATCCCTCGACAAATCTCGAACAGAAGCCCTTGCCGCTCATGAACTCGCCCGGTCTCGTATGATTGAACGATCCCGACGACAATGGAAACCGTTCAGAAAGGGACAAAAGGTCTGGCTCGAAGCGAAAAACCTCAAACTCCCTTACCAATCAAAGAAGATCGCTCCCAAACGACTGGGCCCGTTCGAAATCACCGATGAAGTCGGCTCCCGAGCGTATCGCCTTGCCCTACCAACCCAATGGCGCATCCACAACGTTTTCCATGCCAGTCTTCTCTCACCCTTCAAAGAAACCGATGAACACGGAACTGCCTTCTCCGAACCCCCACCGGACATTATCAATGACGAAGAAGAATGGGAAGTAGAAGCGATCATCGCGCATCGCCGACGAGGACGGGGTTACCAATATCTCACCCACTTCAAAGGCTACCCATCAAGCGAAGATTGCTGGTTACCAGAGCGAAACTTCGAAAACGCACAGGAAATACTCAACGCCTACAAACAACGACATGACCTATAAAACCTTTACCCAGACTCCCCATCCGACAGCATGTACAACCACACCAACTACTACAAACGCTTCCAAGTCTACATCGGCCGACCAGAAACTGTCCAAGAAGCTTCCGACCGCTACGATAAAGAACTCAAACACTCCCGCGAACACTACTACTTCTGTCGCGCGTCCTTCTGCATCTATCACTTTCGCTATTAATCCCCTCTTCATCCCTTCCATGACGGAACGTCCCTCTAACAATTCGCTCCTCCCTCCATCTATCCGCAAATACCTTGAAGAATCAGAAGAACAAATCCAAGCTATCAAGACCGTCAACGATATCAAGGAAGTTGTCGGTGCTGACGCCGCCCTCCTCCTTGTTGGAGAACGTACCCCTGCCATCTGTCGCCTATACGCCACCCTTGTCCAGGAACACGAACGCATCATCAAAGAGAAGTTTCACCTTATCGGACATTACCAAGCCCTCGACGCATCAGTCACCAAATTCTTCGAAGCCACCCAGAAGGTCCTAGACGGACTCAACGCTCAAGACCAGATCCTCGAACAATCTCGCCAACGGGTCGAAGCAGAGCTCCTTCGTGACCTCGACGAACTCAAGAATGCCATTGGACAAGCCCAACTCATTTCTGCTTTCGATCGTCGACGAGTCCATCTCGCTTCCCCCGTACCTTCTTCCTCTGGCAATCACGGATCAGTTTCCACCATGGCTCCCGGACCGGTCGCCAGAAGCAACGTTCCTTCTGAGCCCGACGGCTTGGTTCGACCTTTGTCGAAGAAAGAACTACGCAAGAGGGATGGTCATAGGTGCAACGAATGTGGCGAAACCGGACACTGGCAATGCGACCATTACTCCTACAGATGCACCCTATGCGGCAAGAACGCTCCCCGGACACAACTCTGGTTCCCGGTGGGTGTCCCGAATTACCGACCAACGCCCCGCAACACTTCACCCGATCAGTATGACGCACTCTTGGACGACGGAGACTATGACGACTACTTATGGGGAGACGAAGGAGAACACAATCTGAACACCTGATGCGGAGCATCAGGCATACGAAGGGGGTACTGTTACGAACTCCCCTATTTCTTCCCTTGTTTCCCTCTACGCACTCTACCTTTCCGAACCTTCCGGACTTCCGTTCTCTCCGTAGTTCCGTTACCTTCGCTTCTTCGATTCTCCCGCATCTCCGAACCTTTCGTACTTCCGTTTCTCTCGTATTCCGTACTCATCGATACTCCTTACTTGTCGCTTTCACACCTTCTTTCGCTCTCTTCCAAACCTCTTGATAGCTCGCCAACTCTACTATAAATACTGTCTCTCTGTAGTAGATATTCCTCAGCCTGTTATCGAGAACCTTTCCCTCAGAACTTCTATCGCTCTCAGCTCGATCCTCCACAATATTACATAGACTGTGTATCATGTGTGATGTACCAGAGTGAATTCAAAATACCCTATTCCGATGCTCTAGCGGGACCAGCTGGATTTAATAAAAACATTGTATCCATGTCGCAGCTGCCTACCACACAATGTACTGTTTTGATGTCCCAGCCGGGCTGCCCACGGCGATGTGGAATACCCAGAAGTTGTTTGCTGCCCAAGCTCTCCGCCCAGCTGGAACATTGGGTTAATCCACTGGTGCCAACATTGAACTCGCAGGAATAGGTTTGTTGTTCGAATTCCCTGGAGTTCGTTGCTGCCCACGCTCGCCCCCCAGCTGGAACATCGAGTTAATCCGCAGGTGCCAACGTTAAACTCCCAGGAATACGTTTGTTGTTCAAGCTCAAAGCCCAACTGGAACATTGCATTTGCGCTGGTAGATCACGCGTATGACCAATGTCCCAGCTGGGTAGTCCTAGAAATTTGGACTACACAGCTGGGACATTTGACATGGGTTAATAAATGCACTATATCCATGTCCCAGCTGGGTAGTCCTAGAAATTTGGACTACACAGCTGGGACATTTGACATGGGTTAATAAATGCACTATATCCATGTCCCAGCTGGGTAGTCCTAGAAATTTGGACTACACAGCTGGGACATTTGACATGGGTTAATAAATGCACTATATCCATGTCCCAGCTGCCTACCACCCAATATGTACAGTTTTGATGTCCCAGCGGGATAGCCCATGCCAACGGGACCCCCTAGGATTTGTAGCTTGTGAAGCTCAAGACCCGTAACCTTGAAACTTGAAATCTAGAGGCGACGCGAAGCATGTAATGGCTGTAAATGCTAAGATTCAAGCAGCAGGTCGGCAATGACGACTTCGGCTGAGCATCCTCAGCAAGGGACAGTGAGTGTTGCAGTAATACAGGGTAGGGGGAAATGGGACAGCCCCAGCTGGGACATTATGCAACCTTGGGTAAGTTCCGGGGCATTCAGCATCTCATAATCGAGCGTAGAGTCTGACAGAGAGGGATTGATTAGATACGGTGTCCCAGGTTGGGAGATCACACACATGTCGCATGTCCCAGCTGGGGAGCCTCAAAAATTGAACAAACCCAGCTGGAACATGCGACTTGTGCGTGACATCCCAAGGTCGCATGTTCCAGCTGGGGAGCCTCAATAAGTGAACTAGCCCAATAAGTTCATCCTAATTTCAACATCAAACTCTCCCTTTTCTTCGACATCGTCATAGGCGAAACAGCACTGCATATTCTTCGACTTGACAATTTCGCGTCGTCGCCGCCCGCAGTAAATCACCGCATGGACCCAGCAGACAGGGCGCTCCCGCTACGACGAATCCTCCTTCGACGCTGGAACATTCGACCTGTGCGTGATCTCCCAAGGTCGCATGTTCCAGCTGGGGAGCCTCAAAAATTGAACGAGCCCAGCTGGAACATTCAACCTGTGCGCGATCTCCCAAGGTCGCATGTCCCAGCTGGGGAGCCTCAAAAATTGAACAAGCCCAGCTGGAACATGCGACTTGTGCGTGACATCCCAAGGTCGCATGTTCCAGCTGGGGAGCCTCAAAAATTGAACAAGCCCAGCTGGAACATGCGACTTGTGCGTGACATCCCAAGGTCGCATGTTCCAGCTGGGGAGCCTCAAAAATTGAACTAGCCCAGCTGACGAAACGGCACTCCATATTCTTCGACCCCACAATTTCGCATCGTCGCCACGCGCAGCAAATCACCGCAGGGACGCAGCAGATAGGGCGCTCCCACGATGATGAATCTTCCTTCGACGCTGGAACATTCGACCTGCGCGTGATCTCCCAAGGTCGCATGTTCCAGCTGGGGAGCCTCAAAATTTGAAAGCCTCGACCTTGGGACATCAGGCAAGAGGCGACACGAGGTATGTAATGGTTTAATCATCATTGTTATTCATCAGTGTACTCAATACCCAATTGAGGGTAGGATCTTTATGCGCGGTAAACACTGACCAAGTTCAAGCAATGTGTCTCCCAGCTGGGACATCGGTGGCGGGAAGGTCGCACAGGCCTTATGTCCCAGTTGAGCGAGCTTGAATCTACAGGTACCTCCGCTGGGATATGAGGGATGGAACTTAACCGGTCTCACCTCACCCAACTTGTGCCCACAGGTACATACATGATCCAATTTGACGCGCCCAAGCCTAATCCTGGTACAAGTTACGAGGAGCCTCCGACGGTTGGCCTGGCATGCTTAATGGAATGGGACAGGGTGAGGCATTTGGGGGTTACATAGATATATACTAAAATTCCGCCTCACATGACTCATTACAGCCCAGACCATGATTACGGGAAGGAAGGAGAAGGAAAAAAAGGAGAGCATTTTTAGACGATGAAGTACCAAGAGCAAGAACATGCGTACTACTTCAGATGTATGTCCACGTAGCCAACCCTTTCCTTCCAAGCCCTCGTCGAAACCAGCTCTTGAACTCGGATCTCCAAGTCAGTGACAGCGTTTTCAACCCGGATAATGTCTTCTTGAAGGAGAAGGAAGGCCTCTGCTTCAGAGTCACAGTTGACTGCAAAAAGTACATACGAGTCGCAATACGTGCGATGCCGCAGTGCTGCTGCCTTCTCGTTGGGGTTGCACAGTCCCGCCTTGGAAACGGGAAAGGAGGCCATCCGAGCCTCCAGCGTCTTCAGCCGACTGGATGCCATCGAAATACGCGACTTAAGGGAACGGAGCTGGTCCTGGCGTGCTTCATCACTGATTGTGGCCAGAGGTTGGGGGGGGTCGTACGGCAGGAGGTCAAAGACGTAATGTATGTTGGGGTCGTATCCCGAAAGAGGGCGGCTATAAAGATCTGTGTCCTTCTTTTCACAAAGCTTGATCCCCCCGCTGACGCTGTCGAGAAAGGAGGACACGTCTTCCACTCTTCTCTCTGTGGTTATGCTGAGGGTGCGGAGATTCACCATCTGCGCCAGAGGAGAGGAACAGGAAAAGTTGAGGAAGGAGGCAAGCATTGGCAGTGTATATATATCCCTTGTCTAAACCAGAAGAGGTCAAGCTCAAATCTCAGAGTTGTTGGGGCAGGTGCTCACCTCGGACGTTGAAAGAAGGTATCGGTGTACATCCCCGGGGAATCCAACATCCCAAACAAGTCCTGTCTGATTCGGCCATCATACATCTCAGTTCCGGTCCGAGGTTGACCTCCATGTATAGTCCCCGATCAAGCTCGTTCTGGAATTAAGCTAAGTAATAAGAGGTAATGAGGTGCTATCTAGATTGAAACTTTCCCATTCTGAGCGCAGCCTTGTGATGGCAGTCGAAAGGCTTTCGGAAACATGATGAGAATCGAAAGGTTGACAAGCCTTGACCTGATCCAAAAGCTCCTTCATGTCGTGATCCAGCACCCGCATTATGTCGTCTCTGCATTTCATCTTCCTTTCGTCGTGAGCCTCTCCTAGAAAGCCCATCACCCAGTGCGGACCGGTTGGCCGAAATTCACAATGCCTCCCCATAACCGACGCATCCCCTTCAGAATCCCACATCCTGCTGATGATAGCAGGCATTCGATTCCCCAACCCAGCACGGGCAGATGCAATGATGGGACAAACTTGCAACCAGCTCGGTAGCTCCTTCCATGTTGACGGAGTTTTGATGCTTCAGTTTCAAGAGGGCGGCGTCAATCTCGCGACAGTCCGCAGATCCACGAAGCGCGTTGAGCTGATTGTCTATCTCCTGTAGACGCTGGCGGTCTTGTTCCCTGAAGAACAATTAATATAACAGTTTATCCAGACATAAAGACCCCCCAAACCAAAGCTTCAGGCGCAACAGCAACGAGATGACCCTCTCTACATCAAGGCAGAGGCGATAATCTTCAAGGTGTGCGTCCATCAGAGGAAGATCTGGTACGTGAATTTGGGGGAGAGGTTGCGCATCTAGCGCAGGAGAGTGTTCAAGATCCATGAATGGCGATGGGGAACGTTCGAACGGACGGGGGTAGGTGGCGTCTTTGCTCGTCTTTGTTATATCGTCCATCCGTGTGATTCTCTCGGAGTTGACACCGCCTCTGAGAAACCAGAAATCCCACAGCACCCTGCATTGCCAAACTGGGGTGGAGCGATATGAGATTTTAAAGGGTCATCCCATTTTCCTGCATTTTTGTTTCATGGACTCACTCGCAAGATCATGGGCTCTCTACTTCCTTCCGTCAAGCACTCCCAGCATGAGGGAATCCGAAGGGCATTCGAAACAGAAGCGGACCTTGGGCTTTGGCAGACTTGGGCAAGTTTAGAACAGTCTGGCCATAGAGGGGACGACTGCAGCATAGAGTGTGAGGAAGGCGCCCGTGGGGAACCACTGCACGACTATCCCGGATGCAACTTGTGCTTTGACAGTGCAATTGGCATTGAACTTTGCAGTTTCACGGGCCATTACCTCGAGCATATGCTTCTAAGCCAATTTTACACCCCCATTCACGAGATTCCCTGGGTTCTCGCGGAATACAGTCGGCTGAAAGCTCACTTCGCTGAAATGGAAGACTCTTCTGCTGGAATGGCTGGTCTGGATGGGAAACTTTGGAAGGGTGAGGCATCATGATCTCGATTACTACAGAATAAATGCTAACTCTTGAACCAGGTCTTAAGAAAGCCAGAGTGCTCGTTGAAACAGCCCGAACTAATGGGGATTGCAATACATCCGTTATTAGTGAACTTGACGCGACGTTAGCCTATTTGCAGGGAGAGAACCTTCGAGTCATGGCTGGTAAGTATATTATCCTTGTCCCAAGTATCCAGAACCAATATTTCCCAACAGAGACTCTTAGGATACGAAAGAGATGGATGGCTATGTCTTACATTGTGAAGAGGGCCGAAAGCGAACTTCGCGCTGCGATGGTAGGCGATGAATCCAGCGCTCTCAGGACGCTTGGTCTGTGTAGGCAACTAGGGTTAATGTATCCCTCTTATCCTCCCGTATAGTAGAAAAACAGGCCCCGCGTCTTTTGTTCGAAGTTCCGCCCTGATATCGCTCAGGACATCAGGAAGGATGAGCAGACACTCGTTCAGTTGCGAGCCATTGGATTAAGACAACTGCGGTAGATTGGTCAGGATATTATGATACTCCATTGCTATATAAAACTCTTGCGTGTTTACTTTGGGAGGGTGCGTAGGTGGTCTAACTCGGCCTTCATATCATCCCTCAATGCGACTAGAGCATCCCGCATCATGGCCTGTTCTAGCTGGATCCATTTGAGAGCGCGCACTTGCTTCTGAACCCTCTGCTGGAGAAGGCGAGTGAAGTTGACGGAAATGCAGACTTGCGGCCCCCTGTTGCCGGTCATGCTACTGCGCTCGTCAGCGCTAGCGTCAGGGTCTCGTCCATCGGAATCTGGTTTACCATTGCCACCCTCGGGAACGACTGCATCATCACCCTCGAACTGGCTAGCACCATCGCCATCCTCGGCGACTGGCTGGCGCGGGACATCCCCATCATCGTCACATCCGGGCTGACATGCGACTCCCTCATCCTCATTCTCCTCTCCATCATCACCACCCTGGAGTCTGGACTTTTTGAAATCCATTGGCACGTCGTCTGCATAGTCTCCCCTCCTCTTTCGATCCACGGTAACTGTGAAATATACAGGACGTCAGTCATCATAGTAAGTGCCAATTTCAATGTAAAGGGGTACCTGTAATTCCAGAACTCGGGTAGATACCGTTTTCTTCGGCTGCAGAATAATGTTGTCAGACGAGTGGTCAGATGATGGGATCCTTCTTACCGCTTTCCCAGCCACTAGCATGCACCTTCTCGGCTAACCCCATTGAGGAAGGAACCGCAGGTGCGGGCGCGATGGGACCCACAGTCGATCCAGGTTCATCCGAGTCCGACTCGAATGGCGCATTGCGAAATTTTGCGAGCGTTAAGGGTCGAGTCTTTGCTGGGGGTCTCGGTCTGGATTCTTCGACCATCCGAAGATTAATTACAATACACAGAAAAAGGATTAGATAGAAGACACGTACTAGCCTTTGAAGAGTCCTTGCTAGAGGAGCCGTCCATTCTGTATAGCGCAGTTTACGTCAAACCTATTGCGGGGGGATGGTTGTGTCGTCAAGCAATCCAGATTTGATTCTCGATAATAAGCGGATTTTGACTTGTGAGGAGTGATGGCAAAGCATCACGTGTTTCATCTAATCGCGTCAAGATATCTTAAAGTCGAGCTGGCCGCGCGGTAGCGCGACCCCTCTGTCTCTTGATGTACCTTACCTCAACAATGTCGAACAAAGAAGCGAAGACGAAAGCGTCGGGCCCTGCCAACAACGAGGGCCGCTCTACGCAGCAGCAAAAGGCACCACCGCCGCCGGAAATTGTCGCTGATATCGAAAGGTTGACGGAATTGGTGGAGAAGGCATGGACCTGGAGAAAAGGCAGACAAGATATAACGAAAAAACAGCAATTGTTGGACCTCACGGTATGTCTTGACCATGCCGTCTTACGCGGATGCTAGAGCGATGCTATCGATTCACAGAACAAAGTGTACGACTCCTGGAACCAAGTCGGTTGGAGAAAGGAGGCGTTACCTTCAGCAATACGGCAATGGTTCAGACATATCGCCTCCCCGGACGTCGCGGATTGGGATGGATCACCAGAAATGCTAGACCTGACCTTTTTCCGAAATCTACATGCTGGCGCGGATGGGGACAACCCGAAGAAGAAGTCATCGAAGCGCAAGGTGGGCGGATTCGGATTCGTTCGAGTTATTGGAAATTGACTGATAAACGCCGAGGTGGCATTTGAGGGTCAGCCGCAGACTACGAAGAAGAAGAAAAGCGACGCCGTCGATTTAGAATTGGGACAGGGACAGGGTGCGGTGGATAAGGGAAAGACGGCGACAGGGCAGGAAACAGAGAAGGGCGAGAAGGCTGCTGAGAACCAGGGGAAAGGTGGTGAGGACCCCCCCAAGCCCAGACCACGACCACGACCGAGGCCAACCGCAGCAGTAAAGGCAAACGAGTTTACCTCTCAGTCCAACCCTGAGAATGATCAAAACCGCGAGTTCATGATGGTCGTTGCAGGGTTGAATGAGGGGAAGGAGAGGTCCAGGAAAAACACGACGATTGGGCGAAGTATCACCACCAACCCCTATTCCTCAGACAGCGGCTCTGATTCGAGCACTTCTAGTGCCTCCAGAGACCACGTCAAAGCCCGAAAAGCCAAGCGTAAGGCAACCCCGCCTAAGGTAGGGTTGCCCTGACATCTGCGTGAACCCACTGACCTTTGCCCTAGTCCCTAGAAAATCCCGTTGGGCAGAAACCAACACTCGCCAAGCCTACCACGACCAACGCGCCACTACCTCCCTCGCAGAACCGCGCTGTCTCTCCACAGGTCCACACCACCCTGACCAGCATCAACGTCCCGGCACCAACCGCGTCCAAACCAGCGGCCAATCCTTCCGTCAAGAACATTGGACCTAAGCGACCCAACCCGAGTCACTCTATCCAAGAACGCCATCGTGCCGCTGGGAAGCCTCCCAATATATCCAACTCAACCGAGATCCCAAGTGCAAATGCACCACCTGGGCGTTCACCTACCCTTGGCTCAAACCGCCAACGCTTCCCTGACGGAGACGACGATGATGACGCATCATATCGTCCAAGCAACAGCAGTGACGACGAAGGATTAGGACCTGCAGTGGGAAAGGTCAGTGCCTTTTTCGCAACCTATGCCAACTCGATGATGCTGAGGTTCCCAACGAAAGGTCCCCACCGCTGCCGGAAGACAGGAAGATGCCACTCAGGCATCGAATAAGTCGTCTAAGAAACAGACGTCAAAGGTGAGATGGATTCAGATTTTCCAACGCGGGATGCTCACCTGGCGTCAGCAAACTCTTGCTTCGATGGGCTCATCTACCGATGAACGCTGGTCAAGGGTCACACCCTTCGAGGAATCTGAGCTTCCCCTGGCGTCCGTCTCTGGAACCCTCCACGCATTGACCGTCAGATCACACCAACGAGGTTCAACAATCCGCCAATTGGAATCCAAGATTTCGACCATCACGCGGGCATTGGAGCGCAACCAGAACGCTGAGAAAACTGTTCCTGTCCTTGAGAAGCGGTTGAACCAAGCAGTGGAGTCCCTCGACGAGTTACGACAAGATCTGAAGGCTGAGCAGAAGAAGACGGCGGAGCTGGAGGCAAGGGTGGAAGAGCGTGAGAAGATGTTGGACGATTACCGGTCAAACCTCAAGCTTCTAAACGGTGTCGTCGAAAAACTCCTCGAGGTCCATGGACTTCGTCGAGTTCCGGATTCAACCCAGTTAGTTCCTGTACCACGTCCAGTCGCGGGCTCAACCCAGGTTACAACCACCCAAGCCCACCGCAACTTCTCCTCCCACCCAGTTACCCAGACTGGCGCTCATAATGGTTATCCCAGCACCTCCTCCTTCAGCCCCAGTTTTACCAGGGGGTTCTCGACAGGTTCACGACTCGCAACGACGCCGATGCCAGCCTCGACATCGACTTCGATCAACAGCTATGCCTCGCAGGGTCAGTTTCCAAACTCGAACGCCACGAGCTTCCATCCCCACCCCGACCAAAGCTTCCATTCAGATCGCTCTGCCCCCAATGCAGAGAGCAATCCCCTCCAACCAATCATCTCCGAGGTGCATCGCGCCCAGATGGACCTTCCCCATGAGCTCCAGTCCTCACCAGTTCAACGCGCTAGTCTTCTCGAAATGATCGCCCACTCCTCAGTCGGAACTACACCAGACATGATTCAGCAGATGCAGATGCTCGACGATCGAGGTTCGAGGGCCGGAAGGTCTTCAACGAGTACCGTCAATGGCGGCGACAGTCCCTCTGACTGGGGCAACATCACCAGCGGTAAGTTCAAGTATCACCCGCAGAACCGCATTCAACAACATACCTTGGATTCGACTCAAAACACGCCCAACGATCAGAGCACCTATAATGGGCGGGTCAATGCAGTCGGAGGACTCACGATTGGCGGCAGCGAATTCCAACACCTCCCTTCTCATCACCATTCCACCGATGGCGAGTTTCATCCCATCGGGAGTCTTGCGATTGCTCAAGATCAGTAATTTAGTTTGCGTTGTTTAGGCTGACAATATATAATCAATTGTTCCTTATTTGTAAGTAACACAAAGGCTACGTAACACATATGAGGATCATGAACATCAAACTCATCGCCGTCCAGCAACCCTCTTCTTTGGCGTTACAGCCTCCTTCCTTCCATTCGCAGCAGGTTTCTGTCTCTTAGGAGTCCGAGGAGGGGGTGCTTCCCTCTTGCTGGTTTGACTAGTTTTTTTGTGACTCGATGACTTTGATTGAGTGGAAGCTTCAACCCGCGGGCGCTTGGATGGGCTCGTCAACGGGACCGGATAATCCTTCCTCTTGCCGACGGGTTTAGCGTTTTCTGGGTTTGCAGCAGTCTGTCGATTGCGAGTAGTCCGCGACCTTTCATCAGTCGACTTAGGATGTGCATCCTCGCGACGCTGACGTCTCGTTCTGATGCCTTGGAAGCTTGATGGTTGATCACTATCATCCTCGCTCGCCCCTTCCTCCAATGCATCTTGAGCCTGCGACCTCGAGCGAGTGCGCCTTCCCTGGTAGCGGTCCTCCGGCGGGCGCTGTGGAGGCGTTTCCTGTTCGATGTCATCAACTCCATCGTTGTCGAAATCGTTGTCGTCAGCATCCCTAACCCCATTGTCAAATCTGCGGCCTTCTTCGGCATCTAACCGACATAAGAATCAGCATGCCCACTGCCTAAGTTATCACCGCGACCCTCACCTACATCATCCTCCATGTCATCACCCTCCTCATCATTATCCTCATCTCCGCCCAAATCTCGGTCAGGATCCTGACCTGCATCATCCAACCCCATGCCATGGCCCTGCTCCCCACGATCCCCATCTCCACCTAAGTCTTCATCACTATCACGATCCCACAAGTCGTCATCATCACTGCTACCCCCATCTCCGCCAAAGTCGTCATTGCAATTCCGACCTATGTCATCCGACCCCATGCCATCATCCTGCCCACCATGATCCCCATCCCCCCCCAGGTCATCGTAGCGATCCTGACCCGCAACACCCGACCGGGAATCATGATCCCCGTCATCGTTGATCCACCTTGAAAATCTAAGTTGAAACGGGTTTTTGGCAGCAGACGCCTGCAGGTTGTTCATGGTGTGAGATCGGGGAGTCTTCTCTGCCCCAAGGTTAGAATCTTCACGTCGATCAGAATCACCCTTCTTCCTCTTCTTAGATCCATGGGACACAGGTTCTTCGTCCCTCCCTCTCCCTCTCGCCGAGTCCTCCTTTCGCACCCTGTTGATGAAAATCTCCATCTCCAGATCACTGTCAGTTGAATCAGTCGACCTGTTTTTTTTTTTCCTGGGAGCCCTGATCTGAAGTTCGCCCCATCTGTCGACATAACACGAAATCTCGAAAGTCTGCTGGTTCGCCTTGGACGGCACTTCCCTAGCCTCCCGCTGACGCTCGTAAAGGTAGTCGAAAACCTGGACACGGGCGGCAACCTTCATGTCCGAAGGCTCCTTGAGCAAATCCAGGCAGTCATCTGGTAAGAACCCAGGCTTGATGAAGGCCCTCTTGTTCTCTTCAAGTTTCGACCAGGGGAACCGTACGTGTTCAGGGCTGTTGTTGGAGGAGCAAGCTGGAATGCGCTCAATCAGGGACCGGTAAATCAAAGGGCGGAAGTGCTCACCGTAGTGGTAGATGAAGAAGGATCGCAAGGCACGAGCATACCAGTCCCCCCGCTGCTCGCCCATCTTCCTGGTATTGGGGTTGGGAAGGAAGGGCTCCCCGTATTCGTTGGTTCTCATCTCCATGATGGGCTTCTTCAGGTTCTTAGTTTTGACCCAATCATCTTCCTCAGCGTCGCTGTCGTCGTTATACAGTTTCCAGACATACGACTTGAAGTCTCTGAACATAGACTCAATCTTCTTCTGCTGGACGTCGATGAAATTGGGACCCCTGCCCAGTTCCTCTGTGAACTCCACTTTGACAGCAGTAGGCTTGCCATCCTCGCCTTTCCATCCTAACAACATGACTGCAACGCCGTTGAGCTGTTTGTCAACAAACTTTGCAAACGAGTAAGCCTTCTTCGTCGCCGCCTTATCTGCCAACCTGCTCAAAGCATGAGCCTTTGAACTTCACAATGGACAAGGTGGTACTCACTTGCTCTGTTGCTCCTCCGGAGGCCCTTGCTTCTTCCACTTCTCCGCGACCGCAGCATAGTGAGCTTTCTCTGTCTCCGGTAATTCTTTGATGAGAAGAGACGCTGCTGCCTGATAATGATTGAAAAACCAGTCATCTTCACCTCCCTTCTTTCCTTTCGTCTTGGGGTTCCGACCTTTCCCCTGCTCCCCATCCACATCATCTACCTCGCCTCTGTCCCAGTCTTCCAAAAATTGGTCGACGTCAACCTCTCCACCAACCATACGATGAGCCAATGCCTTGATCTTCGCCGCGTTTAGCCTCATAAAGACTAGCCGCGAGTTCCACCGGCAATCCCATATCTCTTTGAGTTTCTTCTGAGGACCTGATTGATGCTGAAACCAAAGGCGTACAGCCTGGAGCATCACCTAAGTATTTTCCTTGACCGATCCAAGGACATATTGCTTACCTCTTTCAACCTACGAAATTCCTCCTGGGTCATCTCATTTCCTGACGACTCTTCTATCTCCTTCTGCAAGTGACTGGCCACCTTCTTCACGTACTTGCTCTTTTTTTTTTTCTCTGCGCCAACGTATCCATCGAGCTTCTCGCGGAGGAACGATTGATGGGAAGGTCTGAAGGTGTAGCCTGATTGTTGAACATGTTCTTCGTCTGAACTCGAGTGATAGGTCGACATGGAGGGCGAATTAGCAAGCAATGTAAACTGTGGTGCTGAGGCCCACAACCATCCCTTTATATGTTTTCCAACCGACTTACATTACTTTGCCGGTGTGTCAGCGGGGAGCTTCGCTTTAGCATCATAGTGCGATAAATGCCGATTAAGTTCGATCACATTGGGGCGCTTATCCGATAGGCGCCAAGCAGCTTGGTCAGGCAAAGGCAGCCTGTAGTACAGGTATTCTAGTCGAGCAAAAGGCCTCTAAACGTCAGATCTGAGTTGAAGAATGACCTAGAAGCCTCGGTGCGTGTTTCTGGAAGCAGCCTCTTCCAAACCTATTGAATGGGAGGCAGAACAAGAGTTTTGGTCTGAAACGGGATTTTTATCAAAAAGGATAAATGTGAAACATACAGCCACAGGCTCTCCTCTCCACCTTTCCCTCCTCCCATACCCTTTATACCGCCACAACTCAGGGATCCGGTTCACTTGATGGCGCGCCCAAGGAAATATACTACGGAAAGTGAACGCCAGGAGGCCAGGCGCCTAAAAAACCGAGAGTATTATCAACGGTAGAGTTCATTGGAATTCACAAAAGATGTCTACTGATTTGCATCTGTTGCTTTCCGTTCAGTAACCGAGACAAAATTCTTGCTAGCAGACCGTCGAGGAAGAAAGACCCTGAATTGCTATTAGCCGCCGGTAGACCACGAAAATACCATACTAAAGAAGAGTTGAGGGAGGCGAATCGCCGCGCATCAAGACAGTATTACCATCGGTGGGCTGAAGTTCAGGGCGCCAGTATGAATTGACACTCACATGTAGACTTTTAGAAATCGAAAGGGTCCCATTTGGGTCCTCAGTGGAAGGCCAGAGGTCCTACCCCTCCGTGACATCAGTCGAGACTCCCTTCCAGATTGGCTGGCGCCTGAACTCGTGCCCCAGTATCGCACACTGCAGCAGCTCCAAACGAAATTCCGGTTGATGACATCGGCAAATCGGTACCAGGAGCTCAAGAACATCTCAATTCGATACCTTGAATCCAGGCAAATTCAAGTCATCGACTCAGAGGTCGAAAAATACAACAGTATGTACAAATTGGCGGAAGAACAGGAGGACATAATCTTAAGCGCCGAAGGAAGCGCTCGAGCTCCTCTGTACATTAAGGCTCGGGAAATGACGGCCGAGATTCGGGAGCATGTTCATCTGATTGAGGACATGCTCTCATACGCCTTAGTCGGGTACTCTGAGTTTTCGCGGAAATACTACCGGGAGGAGCTTGATTTCCAGAAGGAGTGGCGTCAGCAAGATCCCACTGCCTATGTGCAGACTGGCCCTGCGCGAAGAACCGAGGACTCTAGAACGATGACTACACCATATCCATACGGGGTTGTGTTCAATAGATAGGCAGCTACATATATAAAGGTGGCGGATTCCTTCTCGTTGTTACCTTCCCCATTCTACCTCTACAATGCCGCCTAAAGGGTACAGCAAGCGACATGTCTGTGAGCGCGACGACCCAGTCAAGTCGTTCAGGGTAAAGATTCATCGTAAAGGACCCGGAACGCCAAAGCTGATACTGGTACCCGACAAGAACCGAACACCATCGTCCAAAAGGTCAGGGGGATCAACATCAAAGTCAGCATCAAAGCGACGTAAAGTGGCGCACTTGGGGGATCCATTGATGGATACCTCATCCGTGGATGACTGGGTGGACGAGGACCTCTTCATACCATTTGACACTACGGAGCTGGGAACCAAGACTGTCAATGTAAGTGCAGACAGAATAGACTATGATTGCTCAACCAGGATCTCTAATGACAGTCACCCAACGATTACATGCGATACTGGCTGGAGCACAAGCAATCCCTTTATTTGGACGAGGTGGTTTCTGCAGAGGTCTGCGCGCTGGTTTGCGCGATATGCAGATTAGACAAGGGAGATATCTGGCGATGCAAAGATTGTCTAGGACGACCTGCTCTCTGTGGGATTTGTTGCAGAACCCAACATTTGGCCAATCCCTTTCACCGAGTCGAGATATGGAAAGGTGAACACTTCAGCCCGTCTTGGCTTTGGAAAACTGGTGTTCAAGTGTCTCTCTGCCGGAGTGGCTCTTGTTGCAACATTGCTAGCGAAGGCTCAAGCTCCCCGCCATCTATCAGCCACGACGACAACGATTGCACCTTTGGGGCCAAGCCGGAGGGATCACACCTCGGAGACTCCAAGACTCTTGTTGTTGTGCACACCAATGGAATCCACCAAATCCCATTTGTGTTCTGCTACTGTGAAGACTCCCCCGACGACGACATCCAGTTGCTGCGAATGGGGTTCTATCCCGCGACACAGAAGGACGTCAAGACCGTCTTCACCTTTGCAGTGATGGACACATACCTTCTAGAGAACCTTGAGTGCTATACGTCCGCGTTTCATTTTTATTCCAAACTGCGACGCCTCACCAACGAAGTGTTTCCAAAACAAGTACCGGTAAGCTTCCATTCAATGTATGTCACGCTATTTCTAAGGAACGTCAAAGAATCGATACAGGGAGGGCCTGAGATGCGGTCGACAATGGAGAAAATTGAAGGAGATGAAGAGATACGGTCTCGCACACACTCGAGCGACCCCTCAGGAGGGAGAGATGGCGCTGTTCTGCGCTGCCTGTCCTCAGCCCGGGATGAATCTCCCTGAGGGATGGGAACATGATGAAGAACAGTGGAAGTACGGGATAACTTTAGCAGCGGATGGGAATTTCAGTCTCCTGCATCGAGAACAAAAGAATACTGACGATGTTTGGCTCAAGAATGGGGAGGGCTATCTGGTGGAACGCACGCGTTATGAGAAGCACCTCAAGGTCACAAGTGAGGAGAGGGAGGTACGTTCTAGGTTCACTTATTCAGCCGTAGTGTACCACTCATCTGGGCCTTTACTTAGATTCCAACGTGTCATGAGCATAGAGCAGTCGAAGACAAGTCAAAAACCACTAAAGGCTGTGACGTCACGGGGGTTGGGGCGTATGCTTGCTCTAGACATGGATGCTTTGTTCCAGGAAGCGTTGTGAACTTCCACCGAGGGGAACGGTCAGTGTCTTCCATTTTTAATCCTCGGTAAATTTACCTCTGATGTCCCCATAGGCAAATGTATATGGACTATGGATTAAGCAATAGCATCAAGACCACGAGCGCGGACAAGATGAAGAGGTTGATCCTTCTCTACGACATTAACTGCCAGTACTCTCGCAATCTCAAAAAGCGATTCGATGCTGGTCCATACCTTTCCCTTCCGTCAGACCTCGAATCCTCACCTTTGGGATTGGCCAGTTTCACGTTCATGGTCATCAAGAGAAGTGTTATGCTAGATACTCCCCCATGTTCATCAAGGGCATTGGTTACACATCGGGGGAGATCCTTGAAGCATTGTGGTCGGTGTTGAACGAGGCCTCTAGACCCACTCAGACCATGTCGCTAGCCCATCGCACTGAGGTCCTAGACGCATTCATCGCCGACAGCAACTGGAAGAAAATGCTCAATCTAAGTAGGTCACATCTCTTCCCTCAGGCCGTTCACCTCCATAGATGCTGACGTCCCCAAGTGGTTTCCATTCCTGCTATGTTCGCGAGATCAGTCCGTGAAATTGCGAGGGCCAGAGAAGCCTTCGAGCTGCTGGACCAGACCGCATCTTCATCCCAAAGGGCTATCTGGCAACATGCGCTGGATAAGGCGCTCAGTAAACGAGTTCATGATGTCGCAGAGATGGACATATTGAACGTTTCTTTAAACAAACGTAAGTTATGTTTGCGGGAACCTGACACTATCTCTCGTGCTGAATGTCTCAGCTCCCTCGCGAGCAAAGGTCCAGCATAAACTCATGGTTGAAGAGCAAAACCAGAATATTGGGGTGGGTGTAACCTCTTGGTTAACGACAGGCTTCAAGATTCAGGAATCGCAGTTGAGTGTCTTCATGTCCAGAAATACATACAGGCCTCTAACTCGTCTCTACTAGACTACAACTGAAGGCTTTCCGCCGTTCCCTTCCCCGTCAGTCCCTTCGCACCGATGCCCAGGAGCTGGAATTGGTGAAGAAGAGGGAGACTCTGCATTCAGAGATATCCTCATTCTGGACCTCCACCCAAATCCTATTTCCAGATGTCAATCTCGACCAGTATCGATATCTCAACCCGCCTGAGAGTGCTGCGGACATTGACGGGGAGGATCAAGATAGCGAGCCCATCCTCTTGGACTATGGAGATAATCCATTTACAGAGGCACCTGACCCAGAGGACGTGGATATACCGCTGCCTTCGTCGTTTGATCGTCTCCCTACCCTGATGAGGAGCGCTGGCCGAAAGGAGATCAAACTGAGGGTTGCCCAAGCCAACGATGCTCTTGAGGCCATTCGGACGGAAATAGGTCACAAGTCCTACCTTTTCCGCTCAAACATCCGACTCGCAGATGGCAAGAAGCAGAAAACTAGGGGGTATGCCGCCGTAAAAGCCGCCAACCAAGCAATTCGATTATCTATGCGCGTCTATGAACAGGCGCGTTGGGCCTTGCAACGGCTTGGGGCGAACACGGATATACTCGGGCGGTTTAAACCTCTTGTTAAGGAGGACACCAGAGCTATAACGGCAATCTACAGACCCAACGAGCCTGGGCAGACCAAGAGCTGTTTGTCATGGATCTGGGGAGTCGATGTTCAGGGTGACTCTGTGAATTCGCCATATCTCCAAGAACGTATGTACATTATGTCCTCTCAACTTAGGAACCTTACTGATAAAAGGTGTAGTATATCGCGTTAACTGGCTACGCTCCCGCTGCAGGCTCGACAGATGGGAGGAAGAACACAAGTTGTTGAAGGCAGAAATGGATTGGGTGTGTCGGTTCTTCGACACCAAAGCCGATGTCTGTCTTGGTTGGGCTCAACTGACGGAGGGAAAGCCAGGCCATCAAGCGTATGCTCACAGGCAAGCTGAAACATGGAGGCTACTAGCGGCTGACGCGCGCTCGGCATTTGAGAAGTCAAAAAAAGAGGTAGAGAATATCGTTTCTGGAGACGTCGACGACTTTTCGTGATTATCCTTCCTCTTGTTATGTGTGCACCCTACCTGTTTCTTTATCTTGAAATCTCTTTCTCTCCATAGTGCATTCCCTTTCTCTCGATCGTGCTCTTTGAACTCACAATCTAGGTGCTTCCCACCCATTCCCACGACCGTGTGAAGCCCTAGATTTGGTTCACATCTCGGCAGCAATGGCCTTGGTCTCCTGCTCTCGGCGCGATCTATTGCTGCTGGAGGCCACAAGGTCATCCTCATAACTGCATCCTTCTCCATTAGCATGATGCCCCCAAACCTTAAGACCGCGAGACGTGTGTTGATGTTGGACGATCAGCAATCCTCCGTCCCTCCACCTTCATTTTATCATGTCCCAAGCAGAACTAAAACTTCTCTTTCCATTCTCCCCTCTCATCAAGAACTTTACCTCGGATGATTTTCGTTCAGCTTTGGAGTATCTTTCCATGCGTCTGTTATGCTCGATCCACGAGTTCGTCCATCGCCGGGCAGGGATGACAACTCAGGAGGCAGATGAGTTCAGCAGATGTATCTCGAACGAGCTGGTAGGTTGATTTTTGGCAACTCGGAGTTCTCCTATTCACAAAAGCTCTCTATTACTCTCTAGGCCCAATCCACCATCCTCATCGGCTGTGCCGTGTTGCGATTTCCATCACTTCGGCTTGCGCCACGCTCGCTCTATCGACTGTTCGCTCTCTTTCTGCATTTTGACGAACCTGATCTGGACCACCTAGACGCCTGTCTGGTTGACTGGGATCCGGACATGGACAGCCTTGTAGGTACTAATGTCCGAACATCGTGGTGGATGCTCGGTCAATGCCCGCGCCAGTTCCCGTTGGAAGATCTTTTGGGCTCTTGGAAGGATTTGCCCGGCTATCAACCTCCTCTTCACACTCGGGAGATCGACGATGACGCCTCGTTCTTGATGCCATCTCGCCTTTCCGCGCTTGAAACCCAAATCCAGCTTTTCTTGGAATGCGTGGACGCCGAACTGGAGGCTCAGGATCGGGAGACCATGCGCATTTCGGATCTGAGCGCTTCTGTTGAGGAAAGTTGGCTGCCTCACGAGATCGAAGGTGCGTGCCACCATTGAAATACGACGGTGATGGTGTTTATGAAGGGAACAGGCGGCCCCAACGCGGACCTTGGAGAGGGGATTTCACCCATCATGGACATCTCGTCTCCAAGCACTGACCTCCTGCCACGAATTCTCGCTTACAACGTTGAGCGCGTGCGCAATTCTTTGAACTGGGCGTGCAGAGTTCAGCTGTCTGACGACCAGCAAACACTCGTCTCTAGTTGTGTGCGGTTGGAAGTGGTAAGGTTAAGTTTTATCTCTTTCCTTCTCAATGTTGACGATGACGATCATCGACAATCATCTAGGAAGAGATGCTCCGCGTTGTTGCGATAGCCCACGCGTCTTCAGGTCTGCCCTGTAACCCTGACCTATATGAAGCCATCGCAAAGTTGGTATTCTCATCAAACATCACATACAACATGGTGTTTGATGGATCTCTTCGACTGGCTCTGGGGCACCCGCGCCATGCGCTTCAACCCCCGTGGGTACCGTCGGTGTTGAACTGCAAAATGCCAGAGGGAATGAGGCTGGACTTTTTAGGTGCCAGACGCATTGTGGTGACATGGTATCCCGCTAGTGAATGGTCTTATGCGATGCGCAGGCTCCACCGGAACAAGCTACACTACCGATGGAACGTCATCAACAAGGTAATCACAGCGATGGATGATGACCTGCTAGCCCGGCGGGAAAGGATTGACACCCTCACCGCCGTGGCTACCGAAATCAGTACATTGCTCAGATCAAAGGAAAATTAGATAAGGCTTCGTTTGACCATAAATTGCATGGATTTCTAGACCTTATACAGACACCTTTGAGCAGCTGTTCCCTGCCTCCTTAGTCAATGAACTTCGAAAAACCTCCTCTCCCTGCTGGTCCCAGCAGGCTGCTCCTTCCTCTGGCGCTCTACCTTCAAGAACTCCTGCGCTTCAAAAACGATCCCACTGCCCCCAGACCAATTCCTCCAAAGGAACTCGATCTCGGCCTTCAATCTGAATGCGAAGTAATTGCCGACGTCACATTCGCGGCTTTTAGGAATCCCAGTGCGTCTGTCTTTGGCTCAGAGTGTCCCAAAGCTGACTTTGATAACCCAGAGCAGGTCAAATGGTCGCTGACCGAGTATACCAAGGCTTCCAAGGGAGGGAAAAAAATAGCCGCTCCCGACCGGGAAAACACTCTTCGCGACAAATTTCCAGGCGTTTCAAGCGTAAAGCCTGATGGAAAATTGGAAATCATAGATGAGCCTTTTTGTGTGCGCGACGCCAAAGAAGTGGTTTTGGCGTGGTATCTCCCAGGCGTAATCACGGTTGAACGTCAGGTTGCGCAGCATCTGATTGGCCTGTAAATACTCGATGCTTATTTTTCGACCTAGGATGAGATATCTTACGCTATCGAATGGCTTTCGACCACCCCAAACCCACCTGCGCTCGTGATTGACACCGATGCAAGTCAAAAAAACTTTCGGGCACACCCCTCCCTCTTCTCTCAATCTCAGTCGGGGACCTTTAGGAGTGGCGTGGCAACGTACGCCTCTGCCTGGCCCATGCAAGGTCATCTCGTAAGTCGATCTCGAGCTTCTGCAATTCCAATCCTGACCTTGAATAGGACGGTCCATTTGACCCTTCAGCCAGTTTCAAGAATCCAAAGCAAGGGGGCCTTGACTTCATCAAACTCATATCTCAGAGTCTAGCCGTTTTGGGCGGCATCTTGGCCCTAGTCCACCCCGCCCTGTTCCAGGCTGGATTGGACGCTCTCGCCAACCTCGGATCTGGTCACATCGATAACGTGGAAAATCGCAAGTTATTGAAATCTGTCCTCAGGCACTGGAGCACGCCCTTTACAGCCATATCGGTCATTGTCAATCGCGAATCTCCCTTCCACACCGACGCAGGCAGTCATCCAAGTAGTTACGACATGCTATATGCTGGAGGGTCGTATCGCGGCGGGGTATTGGAGATTAAAGGCATCGACGTGCGGGTGATGTATGAACCAGGCACTGTGGTGCTCTTTCCAGCTGGAGTATTTCCCCATGGTGTTCCTTCGGTGCACGGGGATCGCTTCTGCATTGCTCACTTCTTTCGGCATAGTGTTCTGGAACAGGTTCCCTACTTTAGGCCTCCCGCCCTCCCCAAGTTTGTTCACCTCAGTGATATTTACTTTAACGGGTTCCCCGGTGTCTGATCAAAATGGATGTAGCTTGTGAATTCTGACATAAAGAGACTGTCTGCTCTGAGTGACCCACTAAAACCCCAAAGCAATTGAGCCCCTTCGCATCCATGGAAAGCTCACTCGATATAGAAAAAAACAGTCTCTACCAAGAACTCCGCACAGGTAAGACAGCTCCCTCCCTACAGAGCGCTCGCCATTTACCATGTCCTTCTTTCTGAACCCGTTCCAGAGCATCGATTAAAATCCTTTAATCTTCGCCTGGCATTCTACGAAGCGGACGACCTGAGAAGACGTCTGGACGATCTGGCATCGGAGGCCATAGACCCAAGTGACTCCGACAGTATAAGGGAACTGATCCCCAACGTGGAGAAGTTGATCAACATCATTCTTGACATTCAAGGCAGCAATCGACGTTGCAAGCGTCAGCTTCGAACCATTCAAAAAGACCGTTAGCATGTTGTAGTCTTCCTGCTCGTCTACCAATGATATCGCATTCCTCTTATCATTCGCTCCCCGGAGACTGGGAGACTGGCAATCTTAGCTGTGATTTATGCTGACAATGGCCGTGGACCGTGGAAGTGAGGAAGCGCCCATATAGGGTCGGAGTTTGAATCATTCATACAAAAGCGTGCAGGACTCTTCGCAGGTACTGCCCATCCATCACGACTGCTACCCTCTCAGGTAAGATGGCTCTTTTGACCTTGATACATGATTGCCGTGAAAGCTGAAGGTTTGCAAGCCCAGTATGTTCAAGCGACCTCGACAGCGGAACGACGCAGCCGTAACTACTGTCACTACGAACAACAAGGTCCGTGTTGTGGTGCGTACTGAGATCGAGTACCCACCAAGTCCAACTGGCAACGAGACAAATGAGCTATGCAAGCGCGTGCTTGATGTCATAGCAGTTGGTAAGACTAGCGTACAAAGGGAAGCAGAGCTAAACTGACCCTTTCACAGATCAGAAAAGGCTGGAAAGTGAAATAAACAAGGCGGTGTCTGTCTTGATGCAGCTAGACGAGGCGTGGTGCGAGTTAGAGGATAAGCTGGAGGAGGTCCATGGAGATGCGTTTGTCGAACGATTGGCGTCCTATCCTACGCACATGGACGAGGCCGTTACGGCACTGAAAGATGTAATCCGTGGTCTGAAAAGGATGGTCATGACCAATGGAGAGTGGATATCTCTCAGCCGCGATCGCATCGACTCGCGGAAGGAGAGGGATGTGAGCGATGTTGAATCCACGGAATCGGACGGCGGCCTGGCAGATGGATGAGTAGAGAGAACGTAGGCACATTCTTTTGGGCAATACATCCATCTTCCCATGTTTCTGTGTCTATGTCCGCGCTTCCGTGAGCCTGAGAGTCGGGATTTAGCTGGCAGACATACTCTCCCACAGTTCCCAAGGCTTTAACCCATTTGGCATGCACCTAATCCTACAAAGACGAGAACAAACGGGAGTCTGAACGCAGACGTCTCCCTCGCTTGGCATCCCTCATATCATAGGCTTCACTAAACCACTTACAATGAGTGGGTTCTTTCAAGTTTCCATGCCTGGACACTGGATCACTGACGGCCGAGGTGCAGGCTCTGGAAAGCGTCAAGCGCCCCGCCCATTCTACGATCACAGCTGCGACGACGCGCAATCAGACCACAGTGAGACTCCGATTTCGCTTCGAAGGGCAAGAAGTTTGGTCGGTGGGTATCTGAATACAGCTCCTCTACCGCAACTCCGTTGACATGAATGTCTAGTCCCTGCCAAAAGGCGTCGAGTCGCCGTCTCAGAGAGACTGACGGCTCGCAAACAAAATGTTGATGTAGCACTGATGGAGCGAATTCACAATCGATTAGCCAAAGGTGAGATCACGATGCTGGTCCGGGAATAGGTTGCCCCATTGACGCGTCAAGATGTCTCAGATCAGAAACGTAGTGTTGATCGTGTTGAGGAGGCGTCGCTGGCATGTGCGCTCCTTTGGGCATACTGGGCATCTCTAGAAAAAGACCTGAAGACCAAATTTGGCGCAAAATCTGTCTCGGAGACGTCTCTGCCTGTTGTTAAGGAGCAGGTGGAGAAACTGAGGGGGCTCCTCGCCGACCTTCGCTCTAGCGTAGGCAAGGCGTCAGCTTGGATTGATCTCGCTCAGGAGTCCGCAGCCGCCTTGGCCGACGACGATGACGGCCTGGAATATGTAGACCCGTAGTTGGTATATGTCTGTAAGGTGAACCCATTTGACCGAGTTTATAAATTCCCTATGTGACTTGAGCTTTTTCTCTATCTTGATGTCATCCTTCCAAGCTCTCAGTTCCGGGAGTCCACAACAATCGCTGATGACATAGGTCATTGGTGTAGGTGTGTATCTATTTTAAGGAGCTCAAGTGCAGCCTTGAGCCTGCGAGCCATGGGTTCTGTGTCAATGGCCCTGTGTTCGTCGCGATGGATTAACCCAGCCCCAAGTCCTTCAATAGCCATCAGAATCTCAGCTGTAACCCATTCTCGACTTTCAAGTTCTGACCCCAATCCCTCCAGCTGCGGTATCCAGGCTTCGACTTCCTGTCGAGAGACACTGTACTGAGCCATGGCGCGTGTGATGGCCTCTTCTCGCCGTTGTGAGAACAAAGGTAATAGGCCGCTTAAAACTCTGATCTTCCCCACTCGCAATGAAACGGTGGATGAAAGTGATTGAACGAGATTGACGTGGACTTGTATGCTCCTACGAGCTTCAGAGACCAGCTCCATGGCTTCTCTTGTTAGCTGATTATCGTCGTTATCTAGTTCCCCATCCTCCAGGAAAACTAGAAACTTTGTATATTTCGCAATGCCTTTTTCCAAATCTTTGGTCATTCAGTATTGGGCATTCGGCTATGATTAGATGTACACACCTTGAATGGTGGAGAGGGCCTCAACAATTTTCGTCAGTTCTTGAGCAACTGTAACGTACTCTGCGCAAATAGGCGGTAGCATTGTTGAAGGGCTGACGTTCACTGTTTTGCTATGCTGGGACTGCTCAGGTGTGGGTGATGGGGGGTTAATTTTTGGGCGAAATGTGGTGCGAGTTAGAGGATAAGCTGGAGGAGGTCCATGGAGATGCGTTTGTCGAACGATTGGCGTCCTATCCTACGCACATGGACGAGGCCGTTACGGCACTGAAAGATGTAATCCGTGGTCTGAAAAGGATGGTCATGACCAATGGAGAGTGGATATCTCTCAGCCGCGATCGCATCGACTCGCGGAAGGAGAGGGATGTGAGCGATGTTGAATCCACGGAATCGGACGGCGGCCTGGCAGATGGATGAGTAGAGAGAACGTAGGCACATTCTTTTGGGCAATACATCCATCTTCCCATGTTTCTGTGTCTATGTCCGCGCTTCCGTGAGCCTGAGAGTCGGGATTTAGCTGGCAGACATACTCTCCCACAGTTCCCAAGGCTTTAACCCATTTGGCATGCACCTAATCCTACAAAGACGAGAACAAACGGGAGTCTGAACGCAGACGTCTCCCTCGCTTGGCATCCCTCATATCATAGGCTTCACTAAACCACTTACAATGAGTGGGTTCTTTCAAGTTTCCATGCCTGGACACTGGATCACTGACGGCCGAGGTGCAGGCTCTGGAAAGCGTCAAGCGCCCCGCCCATTCTACGATCACAGCTGCGACGACGCGCAATCAGACCACAGTGAGACTCCGATTTCGCTTCGAAGGGCAAGAAGTTTGGTCGGTGGGTATCTGAATACAGCTCCTCTACCGCAACTCCGTTGACATGAATGTCTAGTCCCTGCCAAAAGGCGTCGAGTCGCCGTCTCAGAGAGACTGACGGCTCGCAAACAAAATGTTGATGTAGCACTGATGGAGCGAATTCACAATCGATTAGCCAAAGGTGAGATCACGATGCTGGTCCGGGAATAGGTTGCCCCATTGACGCGTCAAGATGTCTCAGATCAGAAACGTAGTGTTGATCGTGTTGAGGAGGCGTCGCTGGCATGTGCGCTCCTTTGGGCATACTGGGCATCTCTAGAAAAAGACCTGAAGACCAAATTTGGCGCAAAATCTGTCTCGGAGACGTCTCTGCCTGTTGTTAAGGAGCAGGTGGAGAAACTGAGGGGGCTCCTCGCCGACCTTCGCTCTAGCGTAGGCAAGGCGTCAGCTTGGATTGATCTCGCTCAGGAGTCCGCAGCCGCCTTGGCCGACGACGATGACGGCCTGGAATATGTAGACCCGTAGTTGGTATATGTCTGTAAGGTGAACCCATTTGACCGAGTTTATAAATTCCCTATGTGACTTGAGCTTTTTCTCTATCTTGATGTCATCCTTCCAAGCTCTCAGTTCCGGGAGTCCACAACAATCGCTGATGACATAGGTCATTGGTGTAGGTGTGTATCTATTTTAAGGAGCTCAAGTGCAGCCTTGAGCCTGCGAGCCATGGGTTCTGTGTCAATGGCCCTGTGTTCGTCGCGATGGATTAACCCAGCCCCAAGTCCTTCAATAGCCATCAGAATCTCAGCTGTAACCCATTCTCGACTTTCAAGTTCTGACCCCAATCCCTCCAGCTGCGGTATCCAGGCTTCGACTTCCTGTCGAGAGACACTGTACTGAGCCATGGCGCGTGTGATGGCCTCTTCTCGCCGTTGTGAGAACAAAGGTAATAGGCCGCTTAAAACTCTGATCTTCCCCACTCGCAATGAAACGGTGGATGAAAGTGATTGAACGAGATTGACGTGGACTTGTATGCTCCTACGAGCTTCAGAGACCAGCTCCATGGCTTCTCTTGTTAGCTGATTATCGTCGTTATCTAGTTCCCCATCCTCCAGGAAAACTAGAAACTTTGTATATTTCGCAATGCCTTTTTCCAACTCTTTGGTCATTCAGTATTGGGCATTCGGCTATGATTAGATGTACACACCTTGAATGGTGGAGAGGGCCTCAACAATTTTCGTCAGTTCTTGAGCAACTGTAACGTACTCTGCGCAAATAGGCGGTAGCATTGTTGAAGGGCTGACGTTCAACTGTTTTGCTATGCTGGGACTGCGAGGGGTGGTGGGGTTGATGGCCGGGTGAGTTTTGGGCGGAAATTCAGCCCATCTCCCATATATAATCCCCACCGTCTGGGGTCAAACATTCGCTAGTGATTATTGGGGAGATCTTGTGTTCGCGCGATCTGGATCGCTACAGAGCGTCATGATGGCGGATGAGATGCTTCATCCCCGAAGAGCCCAATGTTCATTGGAAGTGGGATGGATGGACAACAGAGAAATTCACATCAACTAGCTCTACGCGATCAAGCTGCTCAATCACCTCCTCCTCATCCATGCGGTCAACGGTATCTTCCGGGGCTGCTTGGAACGTGGATCCTTCAGGGGAGAAAGAATGAGATGATTCCAGAGAGTGAAAGTGTGATAGGACTTACCGCTGTTGTCCCAGCTGCTCGTCATCGGACCCAACGGTGATCCCCAACCGGTTCCTGGACCCCAAGGAGACTTTGGCGATTGAGGAGGAGTTCGGACCAGCTTACGCCTGAGACCCTCTGGGAGTCGATCGCAAGAGGACTTGAAGACGTCCATGGCCTCCATCGCGCTCCTCATTTCTGTCTCGGCCGACAACATCCTTTCCTCCATAATCTTGTAGGACTCTACGAAGGGTAGCATCCTTTGGTCGTCCCACGGATGGATGGCAATCTTGTGAAAATGCCATGGGGCCCAGAGCTCCTGATCTTCGTGAGACCAGGCGTCGAGGAGGTCTGAAACAGAGAGGTTCTGGGGTGCAATGGTTCCTTCGCCGGGGATCCACCAGGTAGCGATTTGAGGAGTAGGGGAGTCTTTGGGGGGTGGGTACTGGGGGAGAAGCCTCCAGCGCTACATCTGGAATGGAGTCAATTCTTCCTTCCAGAAGAAGGCGATTACATTGGAGGAGGAAGGTGGGGGGGATCAGATCGTCAGGGAGGCGCAATGACAGAGAGCCGTAGAGAATAAGGGCTTGATTCTACGCCAATTATCAGTGACCAATCCTCAACGACATTGCTCAAACTCACCAAGTCGACCTTAAACTGCCGCCAACAGGCGTCAAACAAGCCATCTACGCGATCGATTTCTTCACGGCAAGCATCGAGGCAGAAAGCACACGAGCGCAGGCGCGAGGAAATGTAGTTGAGGAGACGCTGAGCCTGGGGGATAGAAAGGTCTTTGAGAACCGTAATGGGAGCGGATTCCAGGAGCATTTGGGGAGGCAGCTGCGTTGGTCAGTAGGGGTATGATTGCGATGACTTCCAACTGTCCTTGACATTTGTATAAGGCTCGTAATCCCATTTGGTAAATCCCGCCTGCGTCGGCTCGCGGAAGTAGTCTGTGCAGGGAAATGGCGGAGATGATGAAGGCGATGATTTACTATCACTAACGATGGTGGTTAATGATGTTGTAGAGATGCTCCATGTCCCTTGTTCAAATTGCTCACCTGAAGCGCTCATCTGCTATGTGACATGATGTTGTGAGGACCTGGTCAGTGGGTATGGTTGGGTTCAACCGCATCGTCCCTCATGTGTCACGCGCCGCCGCGGTTCTAGATTATCTTATCTTAATTGTACTCTCTTACAGCCTGGGACATGAGGAGAGGCTCAGCGCTCGCCGCTCATGGGTGGATGGAAAAAGGGGTACGCATCACATGGGATTCAACATCTAGCAACAAAAAATACATTATACATTGGGGACCTCCTAGTCACTGTCAGATGGGATCCCGCCCAGAGAAGCGCAGTCGGAATCGGCGGAATCCCACAGGCATTCGCCTCCAATCTCCTGTTCGACAACCTTGATGGCATCGTTGACCTTGTCCGAGTTGTCGCGATCGTCGGCGTTGAGGATGTCGTCGATAGTGGAGAGGGTGTTGCTGAGTTGTTGGAGGCGACTGACAACGCTCCTGTATTTCAAGCGGGCGATAGCGGCATCTAGAAGACAATAGTAAACAAAGTAAGAAACAGCGAATGTAAAGAAAAGTAGGTTACTCACGTCCAGCAGCGCGAGCCGCAAGTTGGCGGTCTCGGCGTCGTTGCTCGATCATTGGAAAGACTGCGCAATCCCATTAGAATAATTTCCGGGCGGTAGTTAATCTGGTACTTACGGCTGCGGTGAATGGTCGCTTGTTTCTTGGATGGTTTCAATGAGGTCTTCGATCGCGGTCCAGGACGGGGGAGACGGGTGGGTGCCTTCCCAGCGGTGCTTTTGGATCGTGGTGCTGGGCGGGGGAGATCGGTGGAAGGAGATGGGCTGCCCGCGTCAGACTGAGGTGAGACCTTGAGGACAGAGTTAGTGGTGAATGGATGCATAGCCGTGGCGTACAAACCTCGATCTTGTCTTCGTCTGCAGGAATATGGCCAACACGATCACTGGCCAACGTTGCGCTTCTTTCGACCTGCCAAAGAAGATGAGTTATGTGTGATCGAGTGATATGAGCCAACGTACCTCGTGTGGATCTAGGTAGAGCACTGGGTCGGGGGTCTGGGATGTTTTGGTGGTCATTTTAGAGCAGCTGTATGACCAATGTGCGTGGAAGGTAGTCCAAATTTCTGGACTACCCAGCTGGGACATTCATCATTTGTAGATCATGCCCAAGGCGCAATGTCCCAGCTGGGTAGTCCAAATTTCTAGGCTACTCAGCTGGGACATCCGACATGGACATGGATTACGCTCAAGTCATATGTCCCAGCTGGGCAGTCCGGATCATGCCCATGAGGAACCGGATTAGGCCCATGGCAATTCATCATTTGTAGATCACGCTCAAGGCGCGTGTCCCAGCTGGGTAGCTCATCATTTGTAGATCACACCCCGCTGGGACACTCGACATGGACGTGATCCACCAATGACAAATGTCCCAGCTGGGTAGCCTAAATTTCTAGGCTACCCAGCTGGGACATTTGTCATTGGTGGATCACGTCCATGTCGAGTGTCCCAGCGGGGTGTGATCTACAAATGATGAGCTACCCAGCTGGGACACGCGCCTTGAGCCGTGATCTACAAATGATGAATTGCCATGGGCCTAATCCGGTTCCTCATGGGCATGATCCGGACTGCCCAGCTGGGACATATGACTTGAGCGTAATCCATGTCCATGTCGGAATGTCCCAGCTGAGTAGCCTAGAAATTTGGACTACCCAGCTGGGACATTGCGCCTTGGGCATGATCTACAAATGATGAATGTCCCAGCTGGGTAGTCCAGAAATTTGGACTACCCAGCTGGGACATTGGTCATACACGTGATCTACCAGCCCAAATACAATGTTCCAGTTGGCCTGTGAGCTTGAACAACTAACCTATTCCTGCAAGTTCAGCATTGGCACCAGTGGATTAACCCAATGTTCCAGCTGGGCGGCAAGCTTGGGCAACAACCAACTTCTGGGAGTTCCACATTGTTTGGGCAGCCCGGCTGGGACATCAAAACAGTACATTATGTGGTAGGCAGCTGCGACATGGATACAATGTTTTTATTAAATCCAGCTGGTCCCGCTAGAGCATCGGAATAGGGTATTTTGAATTCACTCTGGTACATCTCTATTATCTCCTAGGTACTGAGTGCCCTGGATCCTCTCTGTCTGCGATAGCGACAGGCCTCTTGAACTTGATTCCAGAACCAGAACTTCGATCCAGAACTCCAGAACTCCAAAACTCCAGAACGACTGTTGGCAACGATAAGTCCTCGTTGCCCGAAGTCGTAACAAAAGGGTTGTCGTCCCCTTCGCTATCCACCTGCACGTCATCGTCATCGTCTTCAGGGGAGTCCGTTTCCACTGCTTCAATTGGCGGCCCGTCGTACTTCAGGGAGTCGAAGTCAGCATCTGGGAAGAGGGTAGCGGCTGCCGCATAGAAGGACTCGATGTCAACGTGAAGCTGTTCTCGCCGTTTGGAGACCTCTAGTGTTTGGGCATCGGTCTTCTCTTTGGGGAGCGCCCGGATATATTCCTTGAGGTAGATCCTGACAGACGAGACCTCAGTACTCGGTAACAGTGTAAAGAGCCATAACCTACTGTTTCTGCTGAATGGCAATTCCCAAGGCGATCCACGACGTTGTTCCGACCCCCTTGTTCCTGCGCTGCTCCTTCTCCATCATAGTGCTTTGCGTTTTCGAGAACGTTGGAGCTGTGGGGCGCTTCATACTCTTTGGGTATTGCGATGCTAGCCATGTACATACCTTTCTCTATTTTTGCATTTAGGATATCCATTGCTGCGACGTTCCCCGACTCTCTCTTTTCGTTAGCCTCTCTAAGTTGCCGAGACCATAGTTCCCTCTGAGACACTGTAGCCGTTTGGTCGAGTAAGTCGAAGTCCTCTTGAGCTCTGGTCAGCTCAAGTCGACTGTTAGTCCAGTTCTTGGATATAGTAGGCACTGTTTGAAAACCAACCCCGTCACCTCTCGTTGATTAGGTGCGACGATCGTAAGGGCTCACCGAGATTTATCATCTTCTTCCAGTTGCTGTCGCCGAAGATTGCATCCAGTGTCTCCATACGATGCGCCAACGTCATCGTAGAGGTCGCCCTCGCAACTTCGTTCACGACGGCCCATAGCGACTCCAAGATTTCTCCCGAGGCCACTCCAGCACCCTTGATAAATGTCAAAGAGTATCGAGCATTACACCCGTCGAGATGTCCGTGAACGTGGAATAGCCCAATACCGAAAACCAATACCAGCCCGTTGGGAAGCTCGAGATACCTGCCGTCTTTGATCCTTTGGTGCAGGTTTTTGCTGTATTGGCAATTGATATCGTAGGCGAGGATGGCTCGCGTGATTCCGTCCATGTTGGATAGTCTGAGCGCTTGACAGAGCGCCCAGTCCATGTTCATTTGTCTGAAGGATCGGGGATTCAGCACAGGCGCTTAAGCGGCGAGGGACAACAAATTACTGCACTTACCGCTCGCCTTTCTGGAAGTCTACGACGCTACCCGGGGCGAATGCACCATGTCGCATGCATGCCACTGCCCCAACCCCTGTTGCGTCGCATCCCTTGTGAACTTTGGACTTATCGGCGACGGCCCTGTGTTCGTGGCAAGTCGGGGTCTATCAATTAAGGTTGGTCGAAGTTACAAGTGATTAAACGAAATTTATATGACTTACCTCCTTCGCCTCTGTTGAGACTTTGAGGTGTCTCGCATACGCCGCTGTCTCGGTCATAAATCCCTCCCCGTTTTTCAAATACACCAAACTCTCATCATCATCGTCACCCCTTCCCTTTCGATGCACACAAGTGAAGTTGCCATCGGCCACAAAACTGCGCGTGTACTTCCAGGCGTCCTCGTCTCTCTCCCATCCTTCCTGTAGGTTAACACCCGGCTGAGGGCAGGCTGCACAAAATAAGGCGAGATCACCCTCTCCAGGCTCGAGTCCAGTATGGCCAAACCCATGTCGTTTCAGATCCTTGAGTTTTCTCCACTGACAGCCTGCGCGTCTAAGCTCTCTCGCGCGATCCTAAGGCCAATTATTACCTCAAACCTGGAAGCAACTAATGGCGACTTACGGGTACGACATGGGGGAAAGGTTCATTTGTGAGCCTTCGCAGTTTCGAATAGAAGTGGTGCGTTGAGGTGAAGGTCTCGACGGCGTCAAGCAGATATTCGTCGAGGAGAGAGAAGGTGAATACAGTGCGCGTTTCTTTTGTCGTAGAGGGATAGAAACCGTGTCTTAAAAGTTGATATTCGTCCTCTTGAGCGTCGAAGCAGTGACAGAAGTGAAAGGGCAAATGATGGACTCCATTAGTATGGATTATGACAAGAACCCGCATTCCGTGGAGGCTCCGCTTCTCCGGTTTGGCGCCAAAGGTAAAGTCGTCGTGGTCGATCCAGTCCGAATTCTCCTCTAGATTATCAGTCGCATCCATGGCCATGAGGTCATATGGTTCGCAGACCATCTTGGGACACAGATTCACGTAGACGCCACAGATCCAGAGCCAGGAGGGAGAGAAGAACGACCCTTCGTTTCTTTCAACTCTGTGGAACGGGTTGCGTGCGTGCGCATGCCGGCAGCAAGCTTCGCAGAACACCGGTAACCCTGAGCAGTCTTTGCATCTCCACCACGATGAAGAAGAGACACAACCGCAGTCAACGCACGCGAGATCCTCCTTAGGAAACTCGCGTGATAGAAGCTCGTCCAGGTACAGAGATTGTTTCGGGAACCACTCGGCCATATAATCGTTGGAATTCTGCGAAGAGTTAGTTACGGGCGCCTAATTGATGACTCTAATAAATCCGTGCCTTCGACTGATTTTTTGGCTGCGAGAAATCATCCGCAGAGAAGCGATACTCGACAGCTTCGTGGTCGAAGATGCGGCCATGGCTCTTCCGAGGGGTGGAAATACGCGGGGTCGGCTGCCTGAGGTTTTTTTTGGGGGAGGGTGTCCTTCGGGCAGGGAAGAACTTCACCTTGCTGGACCGTTTCGTAGAGACCACCCGCCCATGTAACGCCTTTACCCCGAAAGGGGGAGGTGGCTCAACCTTGCGCTTGGAGATCGTCATGCGTGTGGGGGAAGAGGAGGAGGACAAAGTGATAAGTTGAACATTTCCTTTCCTGCCATAGCATCGAGATCAGGATCGCCGATCATATCCCCGGTTGTACCATCAGTGGCTATGCGGGTCCTCAATATAGATAAGGATTGCAGGGTACCTCCGAGTCGTCGCGTCGTTTTTTCCCTGCTCTGCATCCCTTTCTGCTCAGTCAACTGATACGCGATGTCTCCCTCCACCAACGACTTTCCCACCACTTTCGTCTTGCAACCCTCTCAGGTCTCGTGGCTTAAGACGAAGGTCGATGAGTATCGAGGGGTCAAGGGTTCTGCGAAGAGGAAGGCCTTCGCTAGGAGGATCTCGCAGCAGTTGAGGAACGAGATGAACTCCATCTCAGGGTCCAACATGTCTCAAGCGCGGGAGGAGGCGCTGAACATGGTGAGTGGCGCGATTATATTTGGCGGTCATCGAATTCACTTGCGTCTAGGCTGTACAGAAGTGGTTTGAGAGCCACAAACTCGACAAGCACACCACACCCCGGAATTACAGCACCAATTGGCACCCTCACCTCGTTTTGAAATACCGTCGAACCCGTGCGATATCACACCTCGCAAATCTCATCCTACACGACAGACCCCTCCCCGACCTCCGCAGACTTATCGAGGATGAAGACACGGTGATTCGCGAGGCAGAGCACATGGACGAGCTCGTAGTGGAATGGGAGAACGAAGAGGAGGACGAGGACGAGGACAGCGACGTCGACGATGATGGAGAAGGTGGTGAAAGTGCCGTGAGTCGACCTCACGCTGCGTCACCGGCCCAAACAACCAACCGTACGGCCTCGCCTTTCGTGAAGTTCTCGCAGGCTACGAAGATGATTTGGGAGGCGATGACCCCGGCAGAGCAGTCGTTCTACGAGCGTCTAGCTGAGCAATGGAAATTGGAAGGCCCTCCGCGTTCAGAGCAGCGCAGGTACGCACATAACTCGATTGCGGAGGTTATCAGTGGCTGACACCCACTCAGGCTTGCCGAGAAGAAGCTGACGGAACGGTGCAAGCAGTTCGCTACCTCACTCTACAACGACATGAACGCGCGAGTCTTTTTTTTTCTCGGCTATGAGGATACTAAAGCGGAGCGCCTGGGTGTCACGTTGGAGTACAACCAAGAGCTTACCGGGAAGAAACCTTTTCAGAAGATGTACGAGCAAGAACTGGAGAAGTCGGGTGCCCTCGATCGGTGGTGCGAGTACGTTGGTCTATCGATGGCCGACGAAACCGAAGTTAATCCCGCCGCAGCGACCCGGAAGGCCACCCCGAACCAGAAGGCCAAGCCTCTTCTTCCCATGAAGGTGGACAAGTACGGCCGACCCATCCTCCCTCCCCTCTCTGAGAAGCCTGTAGGTTATCAGAAGGCTCTCTGGATTATTGATATCCTTCGCAGCTACTTCACTCGGCACTGGGGTACGTAAATGTTAACTTCTCGCACCTTCTCCTCTGATCGAGCTCGTATTCCAGTGCTCGCGCTCGGGGAGAAAGCCCTGCCCCCAAACATCCCAGAAGACTTCGATCGCTCAAGTGTTCACTGGAGCGACGTTCACGCCAAGCCTCAAGCATGCATCTCAGAAAAATACCTCCCCAGCGACATCCTCAAAAAATTCCACGACCCGTCTCAAATGCCTGCCCGCCTCCGCCGTCGCACATACACTTGGATCCTGGAACGTCAGGCTGATCCGAAGGTCAAGACTGTCTTCGAGTTCAAGGCGATCCCCGTCAAGAGGAGGGATCACAACAATCGCGAGATCGTCGTTTACCAGCCCAGCAAGATGAGGCTCGAGATTGTCGACTTTGACCAATCTGACAGTGATGACCCAGAGTCCACTGCCGCCTCTTCCACCTCTGCAGCCTCGAGCAGCGATGTCGGTACGTGCTGTGGTGCCCGTTTCCTCAAGGGTTTTGGCTCATGTGCACCAACCTGAATCATCCTGCCAGAGTTGTCCAGCTCCGATGACGACTACGACTTTGAGGACGACGCCCGAGGTGGCGATGAGGTTATCGATGAGGGTAAGTGATTGTGATTTCTCCAATATGAACCCTCACGTATGACCCTTTGTCGTGTTAGTACATTCGTCCTCGGACGACGACTACGACTTTGGGCGCGGCTCGGAAGACGCGCCCGGAGCCTCATCGTCATCACCATCGTCAACTTCCTCGTCGTCTACCTCGCGCTCTTCCCATTCCCGTTCTCCTTCGGCAGCGTCCCAAGTGGGTCCTGCATCATCCGACGATGGTACCGACTCTTCTCAATCGTCTGTCTCTTCCTCAGACGGCGAGTACGATTTCCAGGTGCCAGAAGAAAAGCTCCCCTCTCCAGCCCTCTCATCTTCGGACGACTCGGACAAAGACATTCTACCTGTTCGTCCAGTCGCTCGCAAACGAATGCGCCTCGACATCACTCCGGCCGATGAGAGGGCCTTGAATACTCCTCGGCAGACTAGATCTGGGACTGCAAAAGAGGGAGAGGGTTCAAATCCGGCAAGTTCTCGGACGTTACGACCAACCACCAGTTCCAGGGGAGGGCGTGGTGCTACGAGAGGTGGTAGGCGAGGTAAAAAATAATCCTCTTTGTTACGATTTCTTTTTTTTTTTGTATTTGGTATTGAATAATGGATGCATGTCTTGGGCCTATACGATAATGAGTGATAGATTGCCTTTGAAACATAATTGTACCTTGACTTTGGCCCTCTCAGGTTCGGTCGAGCTTGACCTTGATGTCAAATTCGGAGTCAAGCTCGACTTTGACATGGAGGTCGAAGTCGAGCTTGACCTTGGGTATGCCCGTCGTAGCCGAGCTTGACTTTGGCTCTTTGGGGCTTAGTCGAGCTTGACTATGAGTGAATCTTCAAGGTCAAGCTCGACTTTGACCGTATGCCCGTCGTAGCCGAGCTTGACTTTGGCTCTTTGGGGCTTAGTCGAGCTTGACTATGAGTGAATCTTCAAGGTCAAGCTCGACTTTGACATGTAGGTCAAAGTCGAGCTTGACCTTGGGTATGCCCGTCGTAGTCGAGCTTGACTTTGGCTCTTTGGGGCTTAGTCGAGCTTGACTATGAGTATATCTTCAAGGTCAAGCTCGACTTTGACTACGTGAATGGTTTACCAAATTCCTTAAGTCGACAAGCAATACAATCATACCATAAGGTCTAAGGCGCACTGTTACGTTTTATTCATTCTGACAGTGAAGCAATATTACATTCGAGGCATGCGATGGTGTAAAGTACATTGTCGTGGCGATTATGACCGTACTATGGAAGGTATATAGGTGATGTTACAGATTGAATGGAACTGAATGCCCTAGGCATTAGGGGGATGGTCTTGTGCGATTTGAGGCGGCGTGGCTGAGGCGAAACAAGAGGATGACCCAGGGGAGCTGGCGATGACACTGCCTGGATGTTCGTTGATGAACTCGTCGAAATCGAACACTTCATTCTCTTCGTTGTTGAAGTTCGCGGGATGGGGTGGTAGGATAGGCATGTTCGACAGATTGAAGTTGTTGTGATAGACTTGGCCGTTTCCAGTGTTGTTCTGATTCAAGGCGGTCGACTGACGGTTGAACGAGGTGTTTTGGCCTTGCTCCATTGCGTTGTGAGCGTGCGAGACGTTCGTACGAACGCCGTGATTGAACTGCTCGGACGGATGATTGTATGGGTTGTGCGCATGTTGGGCGGGGTTTTGAGTGTTGTGCGCTGGGTGGGCGACGTTTTGAGCGTGTGGGAGGTCCGTCTGAGGGGCAGTGGGTACCGAGGGCGTCTGGGAAACCTGGTTGACTATAATGGAACGCTCGGTGGGCAGAGCTAAGATTCTATAGGACTTACATTCATCACTGCGTTGAAACGCTGGGACAGCGAATTGAGATTCGACTCAAGCTGGTCCATGCTACCCAGTCGCTTCCCTATCAGTTCCAGTGGATCGAGCATTGTCTTGTTCTCTTCCCTGAGCTGCTGTAGAGCGTCTACCGGCCCAGGAAGAGCCTTGTTCTCTTCCAGAAGCTTCTTTATACAGTCTTTGGCCCCAATCCTTTGCGTCCTCGACGTTGCGTATCCGACCTCTGATATCATCGTAGTCGCCCTGGGTTACCTGGAGCCGTTCACGAAGTTGTTTGTTAAGGTCTTTGGTGGCGTCGTGGAATTCGACCAGGGCTCGGTAGTTCGTGACCGCTTCGTTCAAGAGTTCCGTTTGCCTTTTGTGTGATACGACAAGTTTAGCAACATCGGCGCTCAAATCGTTGGACGGAACAGCAAGCTTCGGCAGGGGATCGAGCGGAGGGACGATGTCGACGTCCTCGTCGTTGGCTTCGGCACTGGAGGTGAGGTCATCCTGCTGGCTGGTCATGGTGAGGGTAGGTTTAGGATCAACGTCCATGGGCGACTGAGGGCGTGATAGGTTGGCCTACAGAAATGAGGTTTTGAAAGGTCTAGTTTTATGGAATGGAAAACGCGTACATTGTCCGAGTCATTCCGGTCCTCATCCTCCCGGCCACGCTTGCGAGATGTCGACGCCTTGGACGTTGTAGACAACGTAGATGTCTCTGCTGGCGGGCTGGAAGGTCGTTTATTTTCCCCTACCACTCCGTCATCTTTGTCTTTACCTTTGTCCGACTTACGCTGTTTCTTGGTCGACCCACCCTCTTGCTTCTTCGATCCCTGTGCCTCCATTTTCTCCTCTTGCCCGTCGTCTTTCCCGCCCTTCGAGGTCCCCTTCCCGCCCTTCGAGGTTCCCTTCCCGCCCTTCGAGGTCCCCTTCGCATCCTTCGAACTTCCCTTTCCATCCTTCGAAGCCCCCTTGGCATCCTTTGAGGTCCCTTTCCCATCCTTCGAACTTCCCTTTCCGTCCTTCGACTCCGTCGAACTTCCCTTCGCGTCCTTCCCAGTCCCCTTCTCCGGCTTTACCGTTATCCCAGTCACCTGTTTGTCGGCCTCTGTATTCTTTGCTTTGTACCCGGTTGCCGCGAGGAGAGGTGGAACATTGGAGTAGTTGTGGTCGAGCGCGAACAGATCGGAAGGGATGGAGGAGGGATCTTTTTGGAATGAAGAAGCATGGAATTTGAGCCATCGAAAGATCGCGCCCAGGTGTTTTTCTTCGAGGAACGACTCTTTCAATGCTAGAGAGTGTAGTTTCTTCTGTATAAGAGCACATTAGACAGGGTTATTCTGGCAGAAGGAAAACGTGCGCTATGGTGCATAAGGTTTTTTTTCTGGTTGTTCTCGTTGTCGGGGGTCCATTTTCCGGCGGTAGAGACAAGGGCGTACACTTTGGTAAGACGGGTGATAAGGTCTTGTGAAGGTGATTGGGCTGCCATACTGTTGTTTGGTGACAGGAAAAGCGGGTAGAACGAGACGTAACGTAGGCTTGGGAAAGGTCAAGCTTGGACAGGGTTCAGGGAAAATGCGCAAGTCGAGCTTGGGTGTTTTTGGTCGGGCTTGAAAGCGATTTCATTGCCTTGATTACGGTATTCACGGGCGGGAATCAGACATGATCGACGTGCCGTAATTTAAAAGGCCCGAGCCACGCCGCGGCGCATCGCGCGTGGAAACATGGACTGTTAAGAAGCAAGCTTGGGAATGTGTGATAGCCAGGGCGTTGGGACACATTCGAAGCTTGGACGACAGAGAGGCAAGCTTGGATGCGCTGTGGAAGAATAATAGTAAGGGCAAGCTTGGGGAAATGTGGCGAAATATTAAAAGCAAGCTTGAGAATGCACGATAGACTGGCCGTTGGGTCACTCCAAGCTTGGACGGCTCAAGAGGTAAGCGAGTAGGCACAGTGGAAGAGTGGTTGTAAAGGCAAGCTTGGAGCCACACGTGGTTGACGTGTATATACATTTTATATATATATATAGTACTGATATAAGGTATTATTAATAGAGAAGGGATTTTGGTAATGAGGGAGGGGAGGACCAAGCTTGACCTGCAACACCGGGTAACAGTATAATCAAGCTGGCCACTGTAGCTCGACATATCCGAGTGATTTTCGACCCACTCTGGCCTGTGTATTGGGGGAATGGGTACTGAGCATTGTGGATTGCGCTCTAGTTACCCGCCTAGTAGGAGTCTGGGTTGCGGGAGCAGTCCGCGCTCGTTTCTGGCTGGGAGCAGGGTCCTCGGATTGGTTCCCCCGACAACGCTTCTCCGTTAACATAATCTCTGGTACCTGGTCGTGGTTTACCACCGAACGTCGTCCTCTTGTCGTAACCGGTGATTGAGGGTCTCCATCTTCGGGACCCTGCTCCGCGGCATTGTCTTGGACCATGTCGTCAGGTAAGAACAAAGCAGGCTTTTCAGGACTATTGCCGCTCGAAGGGGTATCTGACTCCTCTGAGGAGGACCAGGAGAATGATTGCAGGGTCCTGGTATATCCCAAAGCTGGCACAATGTCTACAGCGGGATAAGATGCGGAGATAAGACTCTGGAAGGCTGCGAGGTATCAATCGGCTCACCTGGCATCATCGATTGAACGGTTGGAACTCGCTCAGACTCCGAGACTGGTGCGGACATTTCATGAGTAACGACGCTGAAGCTGAGAGGTTTGCACTCACCTTCCGCAATGGGTGAAAAGGCAGGTTGGAAATCACCTCGTCCAAAGGGCTCGTCATTTTCGGGAAGAAATGCGGGAGGCGCGTGGTCATCGAGAGCTGTCGACACATCTTGAAAATGTTGAGACAAAAGCGAACGATTTTCGGTAAGGACTTTACCTCACCTTCATGAGAGCCAGATTCCGACGAAGTGTCATCGGAGTCGTCAGAGCCTGATCCACCTGTCAGTGAAAAACGGACAGGGGTGGCAAGGCGGCTAGATTCCGGTGGATTGAGCTGGTTCGTTGACCCTCCCGTCACCTTCTTCGACGTCCCCGGCGTCTTGGATACTGACGACCCCGCACTGTTCTTCGATTGCCGACCTTTGGACTTCTTGCCCTTGGAGGCTTTTGCTGGGTGGGGATGCTCCTCCTCGTCGTCTCCTTCATCCCCATTATTATCAAACACCTCTCTGGGTTTCCTTGGTAAAATATTACCTGTCGTGAACAGCCGGTACAGCCCCTATTTTTTCACTTTATCTTATCTGATCTGTCTCGCATCTTATCGTTTCGCTTGCCCCTATTCCTTCGCTCCTTTATTCCCTCTATGGACTCTTTCACTCATGGAACACTGCCTCGTATTACCCTTCGCCCCACTTCCATTGTTCTTAGTTGTTACGCACTGCCTCTTGACTCATTCTGACACTCTCTTGTTCCATTATTGTTTCATCCTTGTTCTTCGCGCAGCCTTCGCGCAGCCTCATGACCTTTCTTATTGTTCTTCGACGTTTCGCCATTTGTTTGTCATTTTGACTCATCGCGGCTATGTAGACTGTAGAATAGGTATATAAGCTAGGTAGTCTGCTCTGTATTTCCTCAGCTTGACCTCTTCGTCAATACATCGACATAGCTTTCTGGTCTAACTCGTCGCTCATCGCTCTCATCTTTCTCGTCGCTCTCAGCTCTCTGACACTTCCGCTCTGGTTTTAAGGTTTGGTTTGGTTTTAGTGTTCGCTCTTCGCGACATTAGGTCAAAGCTACCCCCGTGCACTGGCAACGCCGATCGTTGTCCCTGCATTCCGGACCCCCTGGCACTCTGGTTGACCTGCCGATCAGGTCTTACTCTGGCAACTCTGGTTTTCCGACACCGTCAAGATTAGCTGCGCAGGATACCCACACTTCTTCGCCTCTAGTAAAGACCTCAACCCTGACAAGTGGTTTGGCATCGACTGCCACCTCGATAGCAAGGAAGAGGTTGTAGAGTGTGACAGTTCCCCCTGCCCCTACCGC